AATAATGATTAACACACATATACATGTACATCGAGAACACAGAATCATAGAACTGTAGAGTTCGAAGGGACCCTGAGGGTCATCTAGTCCAAACCCCTGCAATGCAGGGATCTTTTGCCCAACGTGGGGCTTAAACTCATGACTCTGAAATTAACAATTATCCAAACCTTAAAAGATACGAATAGAATCTTTTCTAGAGGTAAGAAAATTATACAAGCACAAATACTAGCATAGCAAAAGGTTTACCAAAACCTACAGCAAAATTCACTAAATTAATGACTGGATAAGTTAAGAATTCATGCATAAGGATATAATTGATTTTATAAGCAGAGGCAGGCCATAAATCCTAGGATTGCAAAATGAACAACATTCAGTTTGCATAAATGCTTAAAGGGAGAAAAAGGACAATGATGTTGGAAAAATAAGAATTCTAATGTCCATTCCTAATCACATTTATGTTGAAGAGTCCCACTGATTTTGATGTAACATGCTTCCATAAAAGTGCAATTAATATTACATCGTATCTGCATCTGTAGAACTCAAATCATTAGTTTCCCATTTTTAACTGTAAGCTTAGCTTTTGTCATCAGCTGGACAAGCCTGGGTCAAGGAACACACACAGGTTCCTTACCATTAAGTGAGTTTAATTTAGAAGCTACACACAATGACAACAAAAGGAAGTAGGAGGGAGCCAAAGTGGGCTTCTTAAGAGATGGGTGTTTGGGTCACACAGAGAAGAACAGGAGCACACTTTGGGGATTTCTGAAAACGAAAATATTTAAAGAACATACTAAACCAAATCTATATTTGAAATTAGCTAAACAGTTTTATAAGATACTGACAAAATCTGAGCTATTTGAATATAAAATCTTTAGAGAATATATGAAAGTAAACAAAAGCTGAATAATGAGGCATGCAAGGGGTTTTTTTTAATGGAGGGCTGAATATGGGGTGAATCAAGTAATAAGCAGGAGGAAATTAACTCCTGTTGCAGTCAAATGTGGCCTGAAATTCAAAAAGAGTCTTCATATAAAAATATAAAGCAATTTACATTTAGCATGTTGAAATAAAATACTTGTCTCAGGTACATTTCCCCCCAATGACCCTGTCAAATATTTTCTATCTTGGGATCAGTTTTTAGTAATTTCTTAATGAATACCGCTGTAGCAGATGGACAATCTACTTCAGGGAGGGATATAGAAGGCTGTAGGGGAAAATAAAGGAATTATTTTCTCTGCATCTTTATCTAATGTAAGCTAGTGCCCTGTTTTCATAACATGTCTACATGGTCTGTTTGGGCTAACAAAGATACATTTTGCATCTCATTCTAAAGAACCAAAATGTGAAGAACTGAACTTTTTACTATTATTATTCCAGACCCAAATAAGAGTTATGACTTAGGAGAAAAGCATGCCAGCAGATGTGTCAGCCACTAGAGACTATTCCGCAAAGATGATGCTACATGTACATACAGCTGCATGCACATTTAAATATGCAGCCTGCAACACAATGGCCTAAGAAAGGACAGCAACAAAGAAAAAACTACTGCAGACATCTCTAGAACTGGAATGACATTGCACTGTATACTATGTTCCCATGGCAACTAGCCATGGGAAGATGAATGTTTCATATTCACTCTGCTCTGCAGTACATGTCTAAATCAAAATTTCATAAAGAGCACAAGATCTTGACTGAAGATTATCTACACAAAACCAGGTTATTTTCATATTACTGAATAATTATAGGCCAGAAACAATGAGGTCATTTTGGAGCAGAGGAGACAAAAATATGCCAGGCATTAGTATGCCTCTAGTGTGTGATCCTATTCATCCAAGTGTAAACTAGCATAAAATGCAGAACACAATAGAATGTACTATCTGCTTCTGGTTAATGTCATCTCACATACCCTGATCCAAAGAACCATGGAAGCAGAAATAATAATCAGGTGTAGTGCAGAAGGCTGAGCCACGTAGGGATTCTTTTGGGGTAAAGTATAGGATCCATGGGTTATCTCAATGTATGAGAACGCTTTTTCAGCTAATATACAGATAGGTCTCTATACACTCATTAGAAGAAATCTGTTTGCAGAACCCTGTTTCCACAATTCCTTTTGCTCAACTGATACCACCAAGACTTGCAGAATAGCATCTATTCCTTTCTACATTTTTGTCATCACATCACTCTTTATAGAAGTGAACTGGCAAAACTAAGGATTTTTTTTTAATGTTCCTGATTAACAACTTTGTGTTTGAATAACTTCTTTAATTAAAGACTGCTTGTGGGAGGGTATTTTTTTGACAGCAATAGGGAAACTTTATTCTCTTGTTAGAAAAGTGGATCCATGCACATTCAATGGAGAAGGAAATGGGAAAAAGACAGTCCAGGACTTGTTGTTGACATCTGTCTGTCTCAAGAGACAATGGGGTGCACCTCTGGGGGAGTGAAGTCAAACTGCTGCCTTAGCAGCACCAAAGTGACTTCCCCGGGGTACAAACCTGGGCAATGTGTATGGCAGTCCTAGGCTGCCCAGAAAATAGGACAGACCCCTCTCTTGGTCTTGCTGATGTGGTCCAAACAAAGGCAGAGCAATATGTTTGTCACCAGCTCAGATGCATGAGTTGCCGGAAGGAGGCATACAAGACTCCATCCAACAGCATTAGGGACTCCACTTCCGGTTTGTATAGGCTTTACTCCTTAGCCTCTTCTTTTCTGAAGATACCCGGTATGCTGAAAGGCAGCCAAGATTTAGGACCAGAATTTTACTTCTCCTAGATCAGTGGTGGCAAACCTTTTAGAGACTGAGTGCCCAAACTGCAACCCAAAACCCACTTATTTATCACAAAGTGCCAACACGGCAATTTAACCTGAATTCTGATGTTTTAGTTTAGGAAAAAACCCCTCATATGTTAGAGTTAATGTAACCCTTTCCATTGATATATAATTTTATGGTAAAATTCAGTACTTTTTTTCCTTTAAAAAATGTTTAGTGATACTCTCATTTTGACTCAAGAAAATCACCATCGGGGGAAATAGTTATAATTGGGGAAAATGAATACAGGGATTTTTTTTCTCCCGTTAAATTCACAAAATGTTTAGGGGTATGCGTCCCCCTGAGTCCCCACAGAAATAAAAGCACTGATATTACTTCAAAAAAAGTAGTTATGAGCCATCAAATCTTGGAAATACACTTTTTCCAGAAGGTTCACTAGAGAGCTGTACTAAGAGCCACCAAGAGCTTGGGGAGGGATTGTCCAGAGTTGTTCAGGGTTTTTCTTTTTCTTTTTTTTCTTTTTTGGAGGGGGGTTGTATTATCAAGATTTGTTGAGCTTTTGGGGGAGGGATTGCAGAAAACAGCTCACCAGCATCACCGGCTTACACCAATAGTCTCCACCGCAACAGCAAATTGAAAACAGCCCTTGTCACAGCCACCAATCACACGCACTATCGCTGCAGAGAATTTCCTGCCCATGTCTTTCAGGAGCCCCGAGGAGGCGGAGAGCGGCGTCCACCTAGACCAGGGGCGCCGCTCCTCCCTCCCAGCCCAGAACAGGACGTGTGGTGAGCAAGTTGCACACGTGTCCCTTCCTGTGCATGCTCTCTCTCTCTTTCACCCAAACACCTGTTGTTTTCCCGCTCCCCTCCCCCCCTTCCGTGCTAGCTGGTTGGCAGGCACACAACTCCCCTTGACGCTGCTGCAGGAGGCACACACTCTATGGAGCGTTTCCCACACGCAACAGCATGGGGGGTGCAGCCGCCCACTTTGCCAAAACCCAACAACGGCCGTGCTTTGGCAGCTGCGCACGTGCCCACAGAGAGTGCTGCCTCTGGCACACATGCCATAGGTTCACCACCACTGTCCTAGATGGACTCCCTTCCCAGGTTGATAGGGTAATAGAAGGTGTGAAACTTTCCTCCCTTTTTGGCCTGTGCTGCTTCTCATCCTTTCCATTATTATTTTTATGGGTTCACACTTATAAAACGAGCACTTCACAACAAAATATGCAAGCCTTTCTGTTAACTGGACTCTGAATGACAACTTGTAGAGGAGATGCCCATTTTGAATTATAGCATAAACACAATACATTTTGCTGAAATACAGTGATTTATTGCCATATCATTTTTTCTGACCTGCTACATCAATTTAAACCTGAGCTAACAAAAGGAAAGTGTTGAAGTCTATGCTACCAAACAAAAACTGCCACTTGTTCCATGCTAGTAAGACATCAAGTTAGTCTATACATTAGCAACCAACAAATTGCTTTCCCTTCCCTTTCTGTCCACCACCCCAGAAAGCTGAAGTAGCCAGCAAAACACCAGGAACACTTAATATTGACAAGGTAGCCATGCACCTACCCTAGGCAAAGAGGCTCCAGGCAGGACAAGAGTAGCACTGCCAGTACTTGTATAGCTCCAATACTATGCAGCGTAAAGATAAACTGCTTTATAGACATTGTAACACTGTGACACCAGATGGCGCTGTGGAGTCCCATTTTTCGCCAACAGGATTTCCCTATATGAAGTTTACAACGCATTTAACTGAATTGTTTCTTTGATGTGTCTAGATCCAGCTCTAGTATGCCTGCTGTTTGCTAGGCTTGGCTGACTGTTGGAATTCAGGAACAAGAGGGAGGGAAATTAACATCAGTTCAACGTAACACTTTTGCAGATTTAGCCCACATGAAGTGCCTGATGTGCGTTTCAGACTTAAGATAACAGACAGCATAAAAGGAAACTGATATGTATTCACTGCTATAATAATAATGTATTTTCTACAGTCTAGACACTAGATCAAATAATGAGCTTAACAGTAACCTCAAACTCACCTAAGACAAACGGTTACATGTGTATAACAGATTTTACCTATCTCAAGTCGGAATGATCACTGGGGAGGGAGAGCTACTTAACTCATATGTTATCTTCTATATAAGCATCCCTGAGCCAAAGTCATTTTTTATATCTTGTTTTATATATTACTCTGTACTTAAAATAATGATGCACTGTACAGTTTTATTTTTATTATTTCTAGTATGTTGACCATAATAAATTGAATATATTACACAGATTTCAACAACATTGGTTAATATGAACATCTTGAAAAGTTACATTGAAAAACCATACTGTGCAAGATGGAAGACAATTCTGATTTCCATTAAACAATATCAAATGCATGTATTATAGTTTGTCTTTTATTACTTGCCTAGAAAAGGCTATTAAGCACCACCAAATGGTTCAACTGATCTATTAATGCATGTTTATTTTGGTGCTCCGCATTATAAAGAGTTAGTGTACAAACTGGTAAAACTTTGATGGCATGTGTCCTCTTCAGAATATTCTGTTTATAACAAATTAGAAGACTTTAATCAACGGGAAGAAAAGATGTCTAAATAATAATAATAATTTATTGTTATGGTCAGAGACCAGCTTGAAAAACACATAATGGGACTGCACTCCCAAAAGCAAAACAGACATTTAAAACAATATGTCTATATAAACACTGCTATTTCAAGGAACATATAAATTAATGCGTACAGTTCCATAAAAATACTATTTTCATTATATATATGCATGCGTGTGTGTAAATCGCATGAGCACATACATAAACACTCTCACTGGCTCATACAACCACCTGTGTCTTGACCCCAGCAGACAACTATTGGATTTGTTTGTATAAGTGTGTTGTATATTCTTAAGTGCTCGGCATGTAATATACTATCTCTTAATGGCCTGTGCTCTGCACTTTAGTAGGGAATATTTTCTAACTAATGATACCCATGAGAGTTTTTCCTGCATGTCAAAACTTTGCAACAACTGGAAATGCTTAGCAGGAATAGAAAGCAGCAACATTTAGCTGAGCACAGTTTATCTTCTCCCTTCTCAAGTCACTTGACTCATGAGATGCACATTGCTGGATTATTTTGTATGATTTTTATTTAATCTGTTCTAAAATCTGCCCTATAAAACCTTACTTTTAAAAGGGGGTGCCAGTCCATGTACTATTATGTACTCACTATAACCACAAGTTCCTCAATTGATGAACTCAGGCTTATATCACCTACATGTATTTTACTACCTTATCTGTCATATGGATGACAGTTAAAATAAAATAAATTGTATGCATTGCACTATGTCCTAATCCCTGCCCCCATCTCACATGGATGCCATTTTGAGGCACTTCTTAGGTTCTCATCTCATCTAGTTGGCTTCCAGGTTGATCCTTTTTTAATCTGAAATGCTGGGTAATTTGGGAGTGCTTTTTGCGGAGCCACCAACCAACTGCATCTGGCACTGTTGATCGGTTACGGCAATCTGGAGAGAGCTGCACCATGAGCCTGGGTTTGGACAATCAGAGACAAACCTTGGCTTCCTTTAGGACCACAGAGGAGCAAAGGAGCTGGAAGCTCCTCTCTGAGAACCCACATGCTCACGTAGCGCTGCTAAGACACAATCTGGTTTACTGTGTTGTCCAAGCAATGCCACTGGGACATTTTCATTGAGCTATATCACTATGACCCCAATACAGTGGTACCTCGGGTTACATACACTTCAGGTTACAGACTCCGCTAACCCAGAAATATTACCTTGGGTTAAGAACTTTGCTTCAGGATGAGAACAGAAATCGTGCTCCGGCGGCCCGGCAGCAGCAGGAGGCCCCCATTAGCTAAAGTGGTGCTTCAGGTTAAGAACAGTTTCAGGTTAAGTACGGACCTCTGGAACAAATTAAGTACTTAACCTGAGGTACCACTGTATCTCTTTCCTGGGCAATCACTGCCAATTTACACCCTTTAAGCATATATACAAAGTTTGCCCCAAATGTGCGCCACTTTCTAGTTGCTTATAATTAACTGCATTGCCGTTTTAATGCCCATTCACCCAGTTAGGAGAGATCTTTTTGGAGCTCTTTGCAATACATTTTTGTTTGTCCCACCATGAGTAGTTTGATGTAAAATATATAAGATTACTTCATTTTATATAAATCTTCTGGATTATGGAATTACTTGGACACCTTTTATCCAGACAACAGAAGGGACAACACACATTTAACATAATCTCTAAGCGAAAAAAACTTACAATTTTTGCAAATGTAAAAGTAGCCCATATAGTATAAGGTAAAGGATAGCAGCACCATATAGTATACTACTGTATGTGCCCTAAAAATGACTAATTTCCTTTTAAACCCTCGAATCAATGCTTGCAATTTTAAATACTATACAAACTCCTAAATATATATTCATTCTCATCAAACAGTGGTTGCAATTTTTAGAAAAGGTATTAACAAGTAATAATAACAGTCACTTCCCTGGTGGTCTAGTGGTTAGGATTCAGAGCTCTCAACAAGTAATAATAACATGTGTCACAAGTACTGCATGAGATGTGTATTCCAATTCAACTCCCACTGATAGCAATGCAGTGTGAATAGAAGGCAAGGTGCTCTGGGGTGCATGATATTTGTTCGTTTAAATCACACTATATTGCTTTTCTGCCAATGAACTCAAGGTGCATATACTGAATGCCAAGACTGTTGAATGCTCTTCCAGGAGAGATTCAGCAGGCTTTGTCATTCCTAATGTTCAGATGTCTTTGGAGACTTTTCTGTATCAACAGACCTATTCAGTGGTTTCAGCTTTTAAGATAAACCAGGCATTTTAATGATCAGGCTGTATTGTTTTTAATGGCATTTTATCTCATTTGTAAATATTTTTGTACACTATCCTAAGATTTTGTCTGAAGGGCAGTCAAAAAAATATTTTTTATAAATAAATGCCACTTGTCCCTTAGATGCAGCCAGGTAGAATAGCTGCTAATGGAGAGAGTTCTCCTGCTACCATATGATCCTGGCTGACCATTAAGATGCACTGTGCTCAGAATACCTGTACGGTTTGAAGCAGAGTAGGGCTTCCTCAGTCATGGTGCCTTGTCTTTGGAACTCCGTATCCATTCTCAGCTAAGCAGCTACTCTGCCTTGCTGACCTTTTAATTCTCTTTGGCATTTTATGCAATCTGATTCTGCTGATTTTACTATTTGTTGCCGAGGTTGTTTTACTATTAACGGTATTTGCTTTACATGGTAATTTTTCTCCTTGGTTTTATTGTTTTCAAATATTACTAGCTGCCCTGAGCTCTTTGACAGAGGACGGGGCTATAGGAGATGTGTGCAGGTCTCCCATTCTGTGTGACGGTGCTGTGCGGAGAGAAGAGGAAACATGGCTTTGCTTTCCCCTAAGTAGATCCTTTTGCTTGTAGACACAAGGCCTGCAGTGGTTTGGACTGAGCCATGTCTGCAGTTTAGAAACACAACCAAATGATTCTGTTCATCTTACCTGAATGCTTCAACTACAGTCCTCTCTGGCAGCTTTGGGGCCACAACACTGAAAGCTTTTCTGAAATCTTCTAAAGACAAATATCCTCTACCTTGATAAAGAAGGGGAGAAAGTATATGAGGAAAGACATTTAAATATTTAGAAGAGTAGTGAATCTATAAATCAGGATTAAGACACATTTAAAGCCTGGAACCAAGGGCTCCCTAAGAGTGTGAATCACTCTTATTATTTTTTAAAAGGACATGACGTCTCAAGTGCACATAAATTTAGAAGGGATTTAGTTCCAGACCTGGTTATTGTGTTTCAGTTTAAAAACCAATACCAGGAAACCTGTATTTTCTTGAGCTCTTCATGTTCATAAATAGCTAGTGTGGTATTGCACTTTAAAGGATCAGACAAAGATTGAGGATAACCTTACTCAAACCACCTCTTGGTTATGAAGCTCTTGGATGATGTTGGGCCTGCCAGTATCTGCCATACAGTCATACCTGGATTTTCAAACAGCTTAGTTCTCAAACATTTTGGCTCTCGAATGCCACAAACCCAGAAGTGACTGTTCCGGTTTGCAAACTATTTTTGAAAGCCAAACGTCCGACGGGACTTCCACGGCTTCCAATTGGCTGCAGGAGCTTCCTGCAGCCAATCAGAAGCCTCACATTGGTTTCTGAACATTTTAGAAGTTGAATGGACTTCCGGAACAGATTCTGCTCAACTTCCAAGGTACGACTGTACTTGCTTCACCGGCTTGTTGTGAAGATAACAGTGATGGAAAACAATAAGACTTGCGAAATTAATATGAAAGCAAAACTTACATTGCCTGTCAAAAGCAGTGAATAGCTGCCTTACTTCGCTTTGGTAAAAATGTGCAGCCTTCTTTGTACTCATAAGATTTAGAAATTCTTCAAGTGATACACCTAGAAAAATAAGAAATTTGGCATATGTCAAATGCTTATCATTATTCCTCCAAAACTTATTTGCAACACAAGCAGCATAGCACTTTTGGAGTGAATGCTTATTCAGAAGGAGGTGTCACTATTTACTCCCCAGTCAGTGTGCACAGGATTGCAGTCTTACCCTGCAATCCTATACATGTCTACTCAAAAGTAAGTACCATGTGGCAAACTCTCCAGTAAGTGGGAGGACTGCAATCTTAATATGTTAAGTAAAAGAACAATTCTTGAAATAGGGTTTTTATACTACTGCAGTTCACTTCTCTTCTACTGCACAAATAATGAGGCTTAAACATATTTACACAGTATATTCTGTTGATTTCAATGGGACTTACATGCATATATGTAGCTATAGGATTGCAGCCTAAAACAGGGTTATAGTGCTACTGCTTATAAGAATCAAATCCCCTGGTGGGAAACCAGTTGGGTATAAGCAGAAAGAGAGAAACCAGTGGGCTACAACAGGTGGCTGATAGTATACAGTAGTTATGATTTTAAGTTGCTATACTGAACTATGTGTGACATAAATAAAAAGGATCTTATTTTTTTTAGTACCTCCTGTGATACTCCATTACAACTGATTCTGTGTTCTGCTCTGTTGATGTGTAAAACCGGGCACTGAACTAAACAACTTGGAATTGATTTGAAGTTATTCTGCCAATGATACAATTTAAAATGCAAAGTCAGAATTCTCTATTTTCTTTCGTAATTTTTTTAAGTCAACAGAAAAATCTGATTGTGTATTTTCTTTTCAACTCCTATGCCATGTTTTTTCCTCTAGACAGGGAGAACAGGTACAGCTGTGGTCCTGTCAAAATCAAGAACACAGTTAATGAGCATAGATAGATAATGGGGCCAGTTCAAATGTCACAATAAATCATGGGTCACTGTGACAGAGATAAGTTGCAGCGAGCCCTGGACTCATGCACATCTCCCTCTGTGAGATTCAACATTTTTTGCTTCCATTTTTTATTAAACACAATTTAGTATTATGTCCAACCCCTCAACTGTGGTTAATATTTATTTATTTATTTATTTATTTATATTTATTTATTTATTTATTAAATTTACATACCACCTTTCCTATGAGGAACACAGGGCAGTTAGTTAACTATAGTTTGTTAAACGAAACTAGTTTTATAACTCATGATTTGAAGTCAACTTATTTCAAATAAACTGTATATAAAATGAAAAGGTTTGTTGGGTTCAGACATTTATTTTTAAAAGTGAAGGCTTCTGAACTCATCCTTGCAGCCATGCTGGAGTTAAAAAAGGGAGCATACAAGCCCAAACCTTATTGCTCCTCACTCCCGTCATGATTTATTCAGATAATATGGAGCACTTGTGTAAGGTAAAAGGTAAAGGAACCCCTGGATGGTTAAGTCCAGTCAAAGGCGACTGGGGTTGCGGCGCTCATCTCGCTTTTCAGGCCGAGGGAGCTGGTGTTTGTCCATAGCCAGCATGACTAAACCACTTCTGACGAAACGGAACACCATGACGGAAACCAGAGCACATGGAAATGCCATTTACCTTCCCATTGAAGCGGTGCCTATTTATCTACTTGTACTGGTGTGCTTTCGAACTGCTAGGTTGGTAGGAGCTGGGACAGAGCAACAGGAGCTCACCCCATTGCGGGGCTTTCAAACTGCTGACCTTCTGATTGGGAAGCCCAAGAGGCTCAGTGGTTTAGACCACAGCACCATCCGCCACTCCAACATCTACAGCTCACGAAAAAAGAATCTCAATATTTAATGTAAGAACTACAAGATTCATTATCATATCATTTACACAGGTAAGAACACCACCCTTATCTGCTACCCTATGAACTACCCTATGAATTGTTTTCCCAATTCACTTATGGAAACATTATGGGTAATATTCAATTGTGGCATTCTTCTTGTGCAATTCACTTGTCCTTTCCTCTCCTCACCCCTGCAGCCTTCCATGCACCCTCCAAAATCTGTTTCAGAGGGTTTGGGATGTTATCTATTTCAAGGATTTTAAGACCACACTGTCTTCAACTATCAGGTTCTGTTTATGATGTGCAAATTTTTAATAGCAGGGAATGTCTAAACATACTGCATTTGCCTGCCTGAATATCCAATTTCATTAATGTATGCTGGCTTACATTATGAAGTGACCCATGCTTAACAGACACTCATCTCCCAATATGTATTCATTGGAGCATTAGATAAAGTTAAATTCTCCAGGCCACCAGCTTGCGTTTTAGTCTTATGAATGTAATATAGGGCTTAAAATGCTATGCACATAGCCCTTCTGTGCTGGTTACACACTTAGCAGATGAGAAGTGTGAAATTCTACTCTATTTCCTTTCATTCTAGGTTTCTTATGTTGTATCTTCCCTTGTTCATCTGGCTGTTTATAAATGTTTGTGCATACGAACACACACACACTGTTAGGCTACTGTGTTCATCTCTTGCCTGCGAGTTTCCCATAGGTGATTGGTTGGCTTGAGTGGTAAACAGGGAGCTGGACTAGATTGGTCCATGGTCTGCTCCAGTTAGGGCTCTTCTTACATCGTCAGTTTAGCAGCTTAAAGGATTCACGTAATTCTGAAGTCACATCTACACAGGGGCTTTCAGAACTGATTTGGGGATATAGGAAACGCAGGACAATTCAAAATAATGTGTGTGTAATTTCACAATACATCTAGAAGGCTCACAGAAATCAGAACACAGGATTATCCATGCCTATTGAAGAGAAACTGCACTGGCACATCATAAGATAATCCTGAGCTAGGCTGTCACTATGATCAATGCAAGGCATTCTGTCTTGCAAGCAACAAGCCCCCTTGCAAAATCTTCCAACAAACACTTAGGTCTGGAGGTGAGATCACACATGACTTCTCGTCTCAAAAATGCCGAGTCGCAGAGGAACCTTAAGCAGCATATGGTTTTCATTCATTTTTCATGAAAGATTTTGTTCGGTTTAGTAAAAGTATCTTACACCAATGTGTGTTCATTTGAACTGAAGTTTCCATTCAAGTTCAGATTCAGTTTCTCATCTTTCATCAAAGATGTTGTTAGGAATAAGATGACTGACTTCCAAGCAGAAACGGAAGGTGTGAAATGGAAGCTGGAGTGAGGAATGCCACTCAGGTACATCACGGCAGTGAAGGAAAAATGTCAGATTAAAGTAGCTAGGTTCTATCCCCAGGTCCCTTACAAATATAAACATATATTTCTGTAAGCTGAAGGACTGCTTTTGTTTTATTTAAAAAAAACAACCTTGCTCCAAGGCAACCAGAGGGAAAATTAATTAAATCTTCTTTATAACCCCTCTCGTAAAAGGCACTTTTAAACACTACTTCTGCTGTGATAAGTACAAAGTGTGATATACATTCTTTTATAACTCTTGCCTTTTCTTTGTCTGAGTAAGCAAACCCTTTCTGGAGCATGTGAAAGTGCCTTATACCTAGTCAGGTCATTGGACCATTTAGCTCAGGATTAAATTGATCGGCAGCAAACCTTCAGGGTTTCAGACAGGGGTCTTTACCAGTCCTAGTACTGAACCTGGGACATTTTGCCCTGTCCCTTTCCTCTCTATTTCCTCTCTATTTTCCTTGATATCAGCCTAGATCCCACCTTCCCTTCCCTCTTTCTAGATAGTGAGTTTTTATATTCTGTTTTAATCAGACTTAGCTGTCTTTCTGTCACTATTGTTTCAAGAATTTATTGTTGTTTTCATCTTTATTATGTTAGCAGCACTGAGAGGTTTTGCTTAAATAGGATAGAAATTTCTTAAATAAATAATACGTACTATGAAATGTAAGTGTGACTATGATCCAGTTTCCCATTCCCTTGTGACTTGAAACTGGAGCTCCTTACTTTCACCTGGGCAGTATTCAATTTGTAGTGTTTAGCTCAATATTGTACACCAAAAGTGAACCTGAATGCATATTTTTCAATATATTATTTCTCACAAATTTAGTAATTAAAGCTATTCCATACTTATTTTCTAACTCTGTCATGTTTGAGCTCTTATCACTAGTTAAAAGAAGATCAAAATATGATGCTTGTACATACCAGACTGATTTTGCTTCACAGAAGCCATTACTGAATCCACTTCCACCTAGAATGGACAAAAGTGACACCATCAAGAATGACTTGGTACATTTCTTTCAATTCATTGTTTTATTTGCTACCTCTACATAAGCCAGTTCTGCAAAACTGCTATCACTGTCTTACCCACAATTACCTTCAGTTCAGCTGTTTACTTCAGATGTCAGAAAATGAAAGGAATGATCCATTCTCTGAACTCCCATTAAGTTGAGATTGTAAACCAAACGGGCAGTGCACATGGAGAGGAGCATGGGGTTTTTAATGCTTTAATTGTGAAATCAAAAAAGTTTTCCAACATGGGGTTACAAGTTACAAGCTGGCAGGTAACTACGAGACGTGGATAAGCTTAGCTAATATATTGATTCAACAGTTGGCCTGCTCCTCTGCTCTCCTTTTCAATAGCAGGGTGGGCATGACTATTTGTGCAGGTTGTGTCCCAAGTCTCTGGAATGCACAAGCAAATGGGTACTCCACCACAGAGGCTAGACCAGGCATAGGCAAACTCGGCCCTTCAGATGTTTTGGGACTACAACTCCCATCATCCCTGACCACTGGTCCTATTAGCTAGGGATGATGGGAGTTGTAGTCCCAAAACATCTGGAGGACCGAGTTTGCCTACGCCTGTGCTAGACAGTCATGGTTTGCTTACACTACCACTTCCACATCCTTGGAGAATGAATTAGTTAAGACAGCTTGCCATTGGGCTTATTCTTAGAGGTCTCCATTGAAGGAGAGGGCTCTTTGCTGACAAGGGGGGGCACCGCAGCTATCTTGGTAGCTCCTAACATAGCACTTGAGGTGTCCACTATCACAGAGATGGACCATTCCTAACAGACTAGTAGACCTGTCCCTAGAACCCAGACTTCTTGCTCAACTGGGACCTTCCTCTGGATATAACTCCAGAGAACGATAGATGTAAATGAAAAGGGAAGCTAGGGTTGCACAGCATATCAATTATCAAATAAATTCCACATCATTCATTTCATTGTCAACCTGCATTGCAATTAGGTCATTCCAAAAATATGGATGCTCTGGGTCTTCATTTATAAAAGAAATAACTTCTTGTACTGAACAAGTCTATAACATTATACTTTTGAAAGGGAAACAAATGCCAAAAATGTATCTAAAAATTTAAGATCAGTTTTTCCTACCATTATTTGCTTTCCATACAAATCAGGCTATTTATTATAGGCTTTAATGATGGCAACATGTCTAGCATCTTTCTCCATAGAAAGAAAAGAAATATGACTATGTGAAAGTGAAATATAATTTCATTAATGGTCTTATTTTGAACCAGTAGCTGGACTGTAATCTAGAAGCCATTTACTCTATTAGAATTAGCAGAACAAATATGGAGCAAATGGACTGTAGACTACAGACATAAAGTACAATCCTAAACATATTTACTCAGAAGCAAATCCAACTGTGCTCAGTAAAGCTTTCTCACAGATTAGAGAACAGGTAAGTGCAGCCTCAGAATTTCTAATAAAGTCACGGAAAAATATCATAGATCAGCTACTTTCCAAATCACTATGGAAAGCGTTAACAGCGACATCTCATGGTCACAAAAGGTATTACTTTGATTCACATCTTTATACATGGTAATATGAAACAAAAATCTGTTAAAACTTCATTAGGTAAATCTTTTCAAGGTTGGAAATCAATAAGCAATGTCATCCTAAGTATGTCTACTGAGAAGCAAACCCCAATGAGTTCAACAGCACTTATGTCTCAGTTAAGGCTGCAAACCTATGTGTTCCTTTTCAACTTAATGAGACTTACTTCTGAGCAGACTTGTACAGCATTGTGCTGTTAAATGTCCTCAGGACTGAAGAAATAGGCTGAATTTCCCTGGTTTAGTGGCAAGCCATATTTTAGCATTATACCCTAACTGGACAAACCACGGCTTACAGAGTTTAAGATCATGAACAGAAGCTGAACTAGGCTTGCAATCCTTGATTGCTGCTAAACCAGATGTTGGAGGGGAAATCAGAGTAGAACAAGGGGGAAAAGGGAAGGTGCAAGCATAAGGCTTGTTCACTTAGAACCAAGCTGTGGTCTGGCATTATGTCTCAACTGACACAGTAGTTAGGAAGATTTAACTTTTAAAAACAAGTGTGCCTTGACTTAAACAGTGCTCAGAAGCTCCTGTTGTCACTTGCGCAACATACCGGTTGTGAATGCAATGTTCATCTGAAATTCTTATTTTCATTTACTTATTTAACCTTTCAATAGCAGTTTCTAATTTTAATTCCCAATCTACTTGTGCATATGTTTTTGAGATATGGTATGATTCTATTTAGCTATTTTGCATAATTGACTGGGATGTGGGGCAACATTTGTTTGTTTAAGTAACTTTGAAGTTTAGAAGGTCAAGCTGGCTACACATGCTATTGAGAAATATCTGCTTTGATGTAGAAACAGTAGATAAAGAAACATGAGTGAATTACACCATGCAACACTGATTTCCGAAGAACAAAGAAAAGCAGCTTCTATTGGCAAAATAGCTGAGGCAGAACTGCCCCATCTCAGAAACTGGAATAACCAAGGTTAGCTTTTATTTTAGCTCAAATGGAGACACAGCCAAGTTAGCATCCCTACAATGGGTGGCTCAGTTTCGGTTATAAGGAATCCATACAACTATGTATTTTGTAAAAAAAAAACCAGGAAGTTTTATTTTAAACTGAAGGTTTGGACCAGAATAAAACAGTATAGCAGACTGGAATTGTGAACAGGAGCACTCCACGCTGCAGCATTTTGTTGCTGATCTGCTCTGTCCATCATAATGATGGACATTACACTTGCAAAATCTCAGGGATACTTTATGAAGCTAGAAACAAGTGATATCTATAATGATTCTGTAGGATGCACCCACTGACTTCTATTGGGCTGGGGTGCTGTGCTTTAAGGGACTGTCCTTTAATAATAATATCATAATTTTATTATTTGTACCCCACCCATCTGACTGGGTTGCCCCAGCCACACTGGGTGGCTTCCAACACATAAAAACATAATAAAACATTACACCTTAAAATAAAGAGACACTTGTGTCAATTACAGGTACTTAAATACAAGAACTCACAATGGAGGTAAGGCCAACATTCACTGCCATATCCTGCAATTTAAAAGAGAAAAAACACCCCAGTCCTTTGAAGACTTTTCGTAACTCAAGAAACGTAAACTACAGAATATTTATCTGATTATTTTATGTTATATATATTATTTTATTTTAGGGTGCTTAATGAATATGCCAATCCTCAAGACAGGGTGGAAGAAAATAAACTTTACCTTTGAGGGCTTATAGCCAAACAGCATCACTACAGCAACCTTGTAGTCCTCTCTGTTTAAATATCCTTTGTGGTCTTCATCACATGCCTCAAATGCCTAAATACAACAAGGTAATTAATGATTTTAAAACAAGAATTTCTTGAAGTATGTTTGGCAAAAAGAAAATGAGTAATCAAGTTTGATCACATTTCTGTCTAATCTTGGATTAGAATTCGCTGCCCAGCTCTAGTTTGGTGTGTTTTAAAAGTCTGTGATCCTTAAAGTTTGATTTAGAATCATTCATTTTAATGACTCATGCCAGCAAAAATTGGGTATTGAAAGCTTTTATTATTTCTAGATGTTTTTATTAAAAACATTTATATATATCTCTTCAATTAAAAAAAAAAGCCCAAGCTTCTTATGCCACCACAATAAAACAGTAAAAGGGGATCAAGGTACAACACTGTTCTAGGGACCCAGAGATTATTATATTTTGCCCTTAAAATCACTGATATTATTTAGATAATTTATATACTGGGTAGCTCAGTTGATTATAGTGTAGTGCTGATAACACCAAGGTTGCAGGTTTGATCTCCATGTGGGACAGCTGCATATACCCTGCACTGAAGGAAGTTAGACTAGATGATCCTCAGAGTCTCTTCCAAGTCAATGATTCTAAGATAAACTGCTTCACTTTTTAGAGGGAGGAAAAACTCTCTAAGTGGTTAACAAGTTGAAATAAAATTAAATAAAAATCAGAAAATAACAAAACACGTTATAAAAATTCATCAGGTAAAAACAACAAAATAAGCAGCTGAACAGGTTAACTGTCCTAAACATCAAAAAAGGCCCAAGTCAACAAATAGGTTTTGTTGCCCCCCGCCAGCTGTTGCTCAGCAGTGGCACCTTCTTACTATTTTTGCCAAACACCTTACAGGCTCCCGATAGTTAAATGCAATGAATTTAGGATCTAGAAAAGATTGCCAAAGGGTGGTGGTGGGGAACCTACAACAAAGATCCAGTTTTACAGCATCTCAGTTCCCCCCCGTCACAACAACTGCTGACTTTACTTTTTAACAACCACTAAAATGTCCATCAAAGAATAACAAAAATGCTGTCAAAAGCAATCTTGAGTTAGATAACAGCAAGACTGCAGAGATACCAGCAGTTGAGAAATATTCTAATGTACTCTGAATGCTTGTGAAAGATAAAATGCTGAGAGAGACTAAGAATGAATCAACTAACCAGATTTCTCATTAAACACTTGGACCAGCGAATAGAAATCTCTGCTTGTTGACTTTATTATTTGTTACAGCCTCATGCAGGAACATGCTTATGAAGTAACCCAAACAGAAATGAAAAATGGCAGATTGCCTACTGATTATCAATAGAAGCACTTGGTGGAGAAAACTGTTAATGAAATGCATGAGCAAATTATCAGGTCCTGAAAACACACCGGGACTACTTTAGACTTTTTGGATAAACACACAAAGGAGCAACTAATAGCTTTCGAAATTTTAACACCTAGATACAATCTTTTAATACAGCAGAGATGAGAAACTCTCAAACAGCAGGTGAGCAAGAAGCAATTCTCACATCCTGGACACCCACACAGCAGAAAGACAACTAGTTCTAAATGTTCACAGAAATTCTAGCACTGGTATGAGGTGAATGTGCAAAACAAAAAATAAACTTTCTAACTGTAGTAATAGTTAAACAAAGGATAAACTGCTCGGAAAACTGCCATATTTCTTGGCACAGCATTTTTTTTAAGGTGGAGGGACAAATATCTCTTCCTAGAGTATGATAATGTGTTCAATTCTGTAATCCTAAGCATACTTATTAGGAGTAAAGCCCAACTGAACACAGTAGGTGTTATCTCTGAGTAAACGTGCATAGGATTACTCCACAGTTAAAAAAAATTCATAATAGGAATGGAATCCTATTTTTAATCCCAATGTTGATGGTGGCAGCCATAGATCTCTCTTCATTGTAGGTAGCAGCTGGGTCCAGGTGAGCAGTAAGGTATTACCAGCAGTTCTGCTGGTGCTAACAAACAAAAAGCCCCCAAATTGTTGCTCTGCTGGTGGGGCACCAGTGGCTTTGAATATACAGGATCCAATGATCTGCTAATCCTCCAAGGGGCTCTGCTTATTCTTTTTTGTTTTGTGAAATTCCCCACGGGAGTTTGCCATTAAAAGGCCATCACCATACTGATTATAGAATCACAGAGTTGGAAGGGACCCTAAGGATCATCTTGTCCAATCCTCTGCAATGCAGGAATATGCAGCTGACCCTAACAGGGACCAAACCTACAGCCTTGGCGTTATCAGCAGTACACTCTAACCAACTTTCTCACTCACACAGCCTGGCTTGTTGTTGTTGTTTAGTCATTTAGTCGTGTCCGACTCTTCGTGACCCCATGGACCAGAGCACGCCAGGCACTCCTATCTTCCACTACCTCCCGCAGTTTGGTCAGACTCATGTTTGTAGCTTCGAGAACACTGTCCAACCAGTGTAACAATAATAATAGTGTGCAAACTTCAATAATTCTTCATCAGGCTACAGACGGTAAACAAAGTGTGAGGGGATGGGGTGGGGTGGAACTGGCTGGTGGTGAAATCATGATTTTGCATCTGGTAAGAGTACAAAGATGGAGTATTGGTGGGGGAGTAGATATTCAAATGAGGCTCTGATAAGTGCTACAGTAGACAAAGGTAAGGAGGAATATGGCTGATTCCAAGTCTCTGGAAGTACAAAATACAAAACACAGCTGTTATCCAGGTCTGTCTCTATCCTTAGGTGAAGCACACATTAAACATGTGAATAAATCAATTTAAGGGAAGGTCAGTAATTGTAGAACACCACTTGTACTCCCTTTGAATAGAATAGGGCTTCTCCTTCAAGATATTTAGGTCTGCAAACATGTGCATGTTTACCTTAAGTATTTATAATTAATTCTGATATATCAGGGCAAGTGTTCCTGTGATGTGAACTGTGGAATTAATACTTTTGGAAATGCAGATACCTTTCACCAACACGCTGCAGATAATTTGGCTAGTGTCTAATTATTTGGCTAGCTATGGAGGGACTAGCCAGGTTTTCTGCTCCAGGTGAAGCCTCCAGAGGGACACAACTAAGGTTCCCAATGTGTGGGGTTTCTGTGTGTGCCAAACTGAGTCTTTGACCTGGGTGAATGAAGCCTTGTTTCGCCTCTGGTCTAGCCCAGAGTGCAGCCTACAAGCACCCAAGCCTCTTGATAGTTTCCAAGTCATGGCAAGTAACAATTCCTTGTTAGATTCATCTGGAGTAACGTGTCCAGGTATGGGACTCCTCACTTTAAGAAGGATGTGGACCAACTGGAAGGGGACAGAAGTACAGGAAACGAAGACCTTATGAGGAAACGTTGAACAAGCGTACCCTGAAGAAGGAAAAAGACTGAGGTGGGATTATAAAAAGGTAAAGGACACCTGACAGTTAAGTCCAGTCACGAACAACTCTGGGGTTGCGGCGCTCATCTCGGTTTACTGGCCAAGGGAGCTGATGTTTGGAAACGCCATTTACCTTCCCACCGGAGCAGTACCTATTTACCTACTTGCACTTTGACGTGCTCAGCAAGCCCTAGGCTCAGTAGTTTAGACCAGTGTTTTTCAACCACTGTTCGATGCTGCCTGGTGTGCCGTGGGAAAAATTGAAAAATTTGAAAGGTTTTTTTTTTTTAAGTCAACTTTTCACCCACTAGGCGGGCGCCGGACTGTGTCCTGGGTATGGGGGTGGGGGGGTTTTTGACCCCACCCTCGGCCAGCAGGGACGCCGATTGGTCTCCTCAGGGGGACACCCTCCACTTTTCTGATGTCCGGGCTGTGATTGGTCCAGACTCCAGCCTGGACCTATCACAGTAGGACATCATCTTCCGACTTCCTTCCCGCCCGAGCACAGAGAAGACGTCGCGACTCGAGTCACCAGCAGGAGGAGACGGACGGAGACCAGGACTCGGCGGGAGTCGGCACTGCAGAGAGACCGCATCCGGATCCAGATCCGGATCCTCCTCACCAGGCCGCAGGTGCAGCGTGAGGTGAGGAGGTCATCTGGAACCAGTCGGTCATGGTCGGGTCTCGGAAGAGAGACGAGTGAGTCCAGCCCTGTGCAGCAGCAGCAGCCCGGTAAGTTTATATATAGTCAATATAGGCACAGTTAAATTTTTTAACATTTTCTAATGGTGGTGTGCCTCGTGATTTTTTTCATGAAACAAGTGTGCCTTTGCCCAAAAAAGGTTGAAAAACACTGGTTTAGACCACAGCGCCACCCGCGTCCGTTGAGGTGGGATTACAGCACTCCTCAAATATCTTCTAATGAAGGGCTGTTGCTTTAAAAGAGAGCAAAGCCTTTATCTTTTCTGCCTTAGATGGGAGGCCTATACCTAATGTCTTTACAATGCAATAGGGTGTATTTTGATTGAACATTAGAGGAACTTAAATGCAGCCCTATTTAGGGACGTTTTTAATGTTTGATGTTTTATTGTGTTTTTAATATTCTGTTGGGAGCTGCCCAGAGTGGTTGGGGAAACCCAGCCAGAGGGGCGGGGTATAAATAAATTGTTTTGTTGTTGTCGTTGTAAATGTTGTTGTTTTGTTTGTTGTCGTTGTAAATGTTGGGGGGGTTTTGTGTTGGGGGGGGGTCGCTACTGACCTTCAAGCAAAGACCAGACATCCGAATACCGAGGATTTCCAGCATCTATGATGAAATGTTTAGGAGTACATATTGGGGAGACCCAGGTCCAAATCACCACTAAGCTGCCTGGGATGGTCTCGGGCCAGTCACTCCCTGGCCCACCTCACAGGGCTGTTGTGAGGACGAAAGAGAGCGGAGGGAAAGCGGAACACAAATGCAACTAAAGAACACCCAACACACACCCACACCCCACACCTCGTTACCTACTTTAACCCACCGCTTCCTGCGACTCTCCTCACCACTTAATCCGCTCTCTGCCTCTCCACGCCAAGCGCACATCGCAGACGTTGCCTCAAACCGGCGCCAAGCTTCCCATGGCAACCCAACCGCTCTCCTTAGCAACCCCAACGCCGCCCCTCATTGGCTGGAAGCGCGAGGCGGGAAAGCCGCTATTGTCCCCACCCACTCTCTCCCCCTTCTGGGCCGAAGGAATCGTCTGATTGGGTGAGGCGTCTGTCATATGGTTTCGAGGCGGGCGGTTACTGTCCCGGAACCGGAAGCTCGTTCTATAATAGGGCCGCCCCTCACGGATATGGTTCCTCCACGCTGCGCTGAACGCGCTTGGCTCAAAAGCCCCGGTTGCTTTTGAGGAGCGTCTTTCCCTGTTTCTTTCCTTCCTGAGGGAATGGCGGCCTCCGCAAAGGGATAGCTCTGCAGGGCTCCTGCCAGGACACCGGTCCGCTTTCGGTTGCAAGAAGCGACCCAAACTCTTCCTCTGCCGTGTTTCTTATGTCAGCCGCTCTGAAAATAAAATAAAAAATAGACATTTGAGTTTAGCCCTTTTCTAGCCGCCCAGTAGGTGAACGTGCCAGCTTCACCCGGGGCAGCCCTTTAAAAAAGGTATTTTTGAAAGGTCACCCGTGGCTAACTGGCCCTTTAAGATATAGGAAGAAAAAGCAGGTTCCGACCTGGAGGCTCACTGGTCTGAAGGGAAGAGAGTGTGGGCTGTGGAGGAGAACGTGTGAAAAAGCGAAAACAACGGAAAAGGTGAAAGGGGTTGTGATGAGGAGGTGGGCATAGTAACCCCTGAGCTCCTCCTAGGTATCACCTCTGCTCCCCACCCCACCCACCCTGATCCTCCTGGCACAATATCATGTCTCAGGGAAGTGAGCATGGGAAATGGACAGTGTCTAGTAGCGATGATGAGAGTGCAGGGGAACAAACGAACAGCCAGATGCCGTCCACCTCTTTGCTGCAGCAAACTGGGCAAGAGAAGGGTCCCCGTTACCCTTGCTCAGAGGCCAGGAAAGCTGCTCACAAAAGAAAAGCATCTCCCCTGGAACATAGCGATGGGAGCTTTCCGCAGGAAGTGGCCCCGGCTCAGAAACAGAAGCCCTCTCAAGAAGGTTTAGGTTGGTGCCTTTCTAGTAGTGATGATGATGATGAAGACGATCTGAAAGAGCGAAGGGGGAAAGGAGGTGCAGCAGCTGGAGTCGGGCAGGAAGAGCATTGTGCTCCTAAGGGGATCCTATCAAACCATAAACTTCCACCAAGCTACGAAACGACAGAGCCGTCTGACAGAGTACAAGATGCTTGGGATCTATTAAATGGACGAAACCCTTTCAGATTCTTCCTCACTAAAGTCAAAGGAATTAAGGCAAAGTACAATTCTGGATCCCTACACATAAAAGGTAAGTAATGGCATGCTGGAATGGGGATAAATGCATACACATTTTGGGTGTTAGCTTTTTCTAAGAGATGGTAAATGCTACTGCAGCTGGTATATAGAGGCATTGCAGTGTAATGTGTGAAACAAATGAAAGATTGCAGTGGTCAGAAAACTAGCTTGGGGTTCACACACCTGCACACCACTTGATTTACTTATCTTTGCTGACTAGCAGTGGTTTCAATTGAAAAGCATAGCATTTTAGGTGATATTAAACAGCGGGTGGCGCTGTGGTCTAAAGCACTGAGCCTAGGGCTTGCTGATCAGAAGATCAGCGGTTTGAATCCCCGCGACGGGGTGAGCTCCCGTTGCTCGGTCCCTGCTCCTGCCAACCTAGCAGTTCAAAAGCATGTCAAAGTGCAAGTAGATAAATAGGTACCACTTTGGTGGGAAGGTGAACGGTGTTTCCGTGTGCTCCTCTGGTTCACCAAAAGCGGCTTAGTCATGTTGACCACATGACCCGGAAGCTGTACGCTGGCTTCCTCGGCCAATAAAGCGAGATGAGCGCCACAACCCCAGAGTCGTCCGTGACTGGACCTAACGGTCAGGGGTCCCTTTACCTTTAAAGCTCTAGCAGGTATTTTTATTCAATAAAGTCTCTGACCAAAGACTCCTGAATAAGCTTAGTAGTTTGGTGATAAGACGACATGTCCTCTTAGGAATCACTAACTGGTTACAGAAGAGGACGGAGATAATAAATTGACAATTCTCATAATGGAGGGATCTGTGAAACGGGATCACCTGAGTATTAGTATTGGGGTCTCTGCTTTTAACTTTGTTCATGAATGTCCTGTAGCTGGGGGTGATCCTGAGGTTGCCTGGTTTTCTGACAACACCAAATGGTTCAGAATGGTAAGAATAAAAAGGTATGGTGAAAAGCTCTGAAAAGCATCTCTTCAAAATATGTGACCAGAGATTAAAATGACACTTACACCCAGTAGGGTCTAAATGACAAATGTAAGTGGGATGTAAAATGGCAAATGTAAGTGTCCCATTGTAAGTGGGACAAAAAATCCTTACTCCGCATAAACACTTAGGTCCTGAACGTATGGGATAGTGGTAGAATTTGATGAATATGTTGACACAGTGTGCAGCTTGTTAAAGAACAAATAGTTTACACTTTTGTGAGGTAGGCTTGTTTTCAGTTACATGTCTCAACCCTGAATTTGACTTATGGTTAATGTTGTTAAAACAAATTTGCTGATGTTTATTTCAGTAGAAATGCTTATTTACAAAACTTTAAATTTTCATGACAGATATTTTGTCTCCCCTCTTTGGGACTCTTGTATCTTCTGCTCAGGTAACTTTATACATTCATGTTGCTATTTTAAAACATAATGCAGTATTACTTGTTCCCTTACCCATAGGATTTGCAAGGGCATTTAAAGGAGTTTTCTGAAGATGCACATAACTTTTTGGTCAGCTCGTTTGCCCATTGGGTGGGGGAAATCAAACCCCGTCTCAGGAAATACCATTATTAGAAGCAACTAAAATGTCAAAAAGCATCAAGCAAGTTTTTCAGAGGAAAGGGTGTAGTGAACTTTAAAGCTTGCTGACTTTAGTGACATTTTAACTGGTCCCAATAAAGGTTTCACCCCATCATAGCTTTCTGCTGAACATGATTTGTCTTAATATTTGGGAACAGGTTTCAATTTTTATTTTCCTCTTTGCACTTTTTAATGCATTTAGTTACATAATTTTTTGCTGTGTTGGATTGATAATTTTGCTAATGCTGCATATGCCTTGAAAATAAATGAGATAGCCTATATTCATACATTTTGTGGCAGATGAAACCTAATTAATGTGCAGCAGTAAAAACCTTACTTAAGCATGGCCTGCATTTTAAAGGTGCTAGTTACATGGGTAAGCATTTTCTTGCTTAGTGTGTATAATGACTCCTATACTTAGGAAATAAAAATCTCTCTAAACCAACTGTTCCCCAACCTTGAGTCTCCACAAGTTGAGCTACAACATCTGGGGAATCCAAGGTGGGACGAGGCTGCTCTAAACTTTCAGTAAGTGTTACTATGGGGAAAGGTAGCACACAAGTTCTAACTATTCCTTCTTTTTCTCTTCATGACAAAGTTTAACTATTGTATAGATGTGGAGTGGCTTGTCAAACAGTATCCAAAGGAATTCAGGTATTCTTCTTTGAGAGGAGCTCCCTCTTGTAGTGCTTTTCTTCTTCTTCACATTACTGTATTTATTTATTAATTACATTTACATACCGCCCTTCATCCAAAGGTCTCAGGGCAGTTGACAAGATGATGAACTTTTCTTAAAGTTCAATTGAATCGACATAAAAATGGTCTAGGTTACATACTTCTTGTGAGATTAAATTTATTGCAATGATGTGATGTTGGTTTTTAGATATTTCATCTCCATAAATTTATCAGTGATGAGTAATGGAATCTCCATGTTCAGAGGCAATATACCACTGAATATAAGTTGCTGGGGAATAATAGTGGGGTATTGTCTTCAATTTTTTTGGACTGAATCTGCAGGCCTTTAACATTCTTAACTGCACCTTGTTTTATGTCTGGAACAGTGCAAACTGGGCTGTCTTGCAACCATGGTTTGCATATCTGTTTCAAACTTGTTGCGAGGGCCATCTGGTTCTAACCATGGTTTACAGGGACATAATGTGTTCCCCTGGTTAAAGTATTTACAGTGGTACCTTGGGATGTGAACGGGATCCGTTCTGGAGCCCCATTCGCATCCAGAAACAAACGTAACTAGCAACAGCATGTCTACGCACGCATGCGTCGCTTTTCAACGCTTCTGCGCATGCATGTGACGTCATTTTGAGCGTCTGCGCATGCGCGAGTGGCGAAAGATGGAAGTAACGCGCTCCATTACTTCCGGGTTGCCATGGAGCGCAACTCGGACGCGCTCAACATGAAGCACATTCAACCCGAGGTATGACTGTATTTCATAAAATTTATGTACCACTTGATGCAAAGAAAACCTCAAAGAAGACCATGAAAGTGAGTGAAGGAAGATGCATGAGGGAACCTGTAGGAAGGGAGGGTGAGGGAGTCCACATTACACTCCCGATCATTCAGTCACATTGACTGACGTGGGAAAGGGATGTAGCTCCATGCTAGAGCATTTGCTTTACATGCAGATGGTCCCAGATTCAATCCCTGATGCTCCTTGTTGGGCTGGGGATGTCCCTTGTAAGAAAACACTTTTTTGAAAATCCTGAGAGGCATTTCCAATTGGAGTTGACAATACATACTTCCAGCATAATTAAACAGCTTATAGCCAGTAGCTCAGCTGGAGGTTTGTGTGGTCCTTATCACCAGTGAGTTGTCTAATGAAGTTTCCTTTGCTCTAAGGGACAAACCTTTATTAATAATCCATGGGGAGAAGCGAGAATCCAAGGCTGCACTACATGAAGAGGCACATCCTTATAAAAATGTTCGCTTATGCCAGGTAATTATCTTTATCTTGCCTGCATATTGACAAAAGATAAAGTCTTCTCTTCTGTAGCCTTACCCCACCTGGTGCCCTCAAGGTGTTTTGAACTACAGCTTCTTTCAGTCCTGGTCAGCGTGACCAAAGGTCGGAGATGATGGGAGCTGCTGTTCAAAACATCTGGAGGGCACCTGGTTGGGGGTGGCTGTTGATCCTCAGTCCATTAATAATTTTCTGTAAGAAGGATTATATTTATGGCAATATTACTTACCAATCGGGAAATATTTTTATTTGATCAGAGTTCTCCATTTCCCTGTGGTCTCTCGTATACCTCTCTTGAGTCTTCTATATGCAGCCTAAGATACTTGAAGCTATAATAGAACAATTGGCAATAGAGAACAGCGTGCAAAATCTGTAGATTGACTTTTAGGATTTGAAGATGACATGTACAGTATTGGGTGAGACGGCTACAGTGTAATATGTGTTGAGTCCACCAGGGAGCAGTAAGCCAAAGCAAAATAGAAAACTGGTCCTAAATCATTATAGGCAGTACTGTATAATGTTAAGAGATTCTGTACTGGAAAAGACTTTTTAAAAATTGCATTTTTATTTCAGGCAAAGTTGGATATTGCTTTTGGAACACACCACACGTAAGTAATCTGTATTATATTGGGGAAAGCCAGTTATGGTAATAACTAAGGAACTATTTCCTTAGAGAGGAAGAGGGAGGTACAAATGATTTTAAATAGATAAACACTAATAATTAATCTCAGTATCATAGGAAAAGTTCTGACTGTTTACAGCTTGGGATGTATTTGTGCTCGAAGCAAGAGGATGATTGACTCAACTTATTCTAGTGGCAGTCTCCCAAGCCTCATGGAGTGCTGCTCCAGAGGGCCCCCACCTTTGGGGAAGTTGCCTGCAGCTGGGAGGGAAGAGCTGAAAAGCCCCTGTGTACTTGCAGCACACATTGTGTGGCCTTTAGATTTGTTCAGGTAATGAAAGAAGGTAAGCAAAAGTCTTGAAAAGGAAGTGCCCCATTGCAATTGCACCTTGATTCTGTTATGTACCTTAGATCAGCCTTGCAAATAGGTGCACAGAAGTTACTAGCTAGGGTTGTCAGTTTTATAGGCTTTTCCTGATCTTGTGCCTTTAACATGCAGAACCTTATTAGCAGGTGAAGCTTTCTATATGGGGGGGGGCAGGATAAAGTGTTGGGGAAATATTCACCTGCTGCATATCAGTGAGGTAAGAGAGGGGACCATTAACCATATTGCTAGCCCACAGCTGTCACTGCCTAACAACTCCTCTGGCTGCCTGTTACAATTAAGTGGCTATTTAAAAGCCTGTGCATTGTCTATATAGCCTTTTGTGTTAAATTGTGTTTTCTGTGTGCAGCATTGTAACAGCACAAAGAGTGGTCCTGATCCTTCTAACATGGATATGATGCTAAGAAGCGGCCTACGTGTTGCCGTGTGGATGTTGCCACAAATTCTGGTTGCAAATTCTCCCCCCCTTCCTTGCCGTAACATCTAGGAACACTTGCCATGTGAGGCAGCAGCATGAATACATGACTTTCCCTGCCCTTAGGCTACATTATTGGCTGTTCCTTGGCGGGAGGGGGGGGGACTCACAACATGATTACAGTTGTACCTCGGGTTACATACGCTTCAGGTTACAGACTCCGCTAACCCAGAAATAGTACCTCGGCTTAAGAACTTTGCTTCAGGATGAGAACAGAAATCGTGCTCCGGCGGCGCGGCGGCAGCAGGAGGCCCCATTAGCTAAAATGGTGCTTCAGGTTAAGAACAGTTTGAGGTTAAGAACGGACCTCCAGAACGAATTAAGTACTTAACCTGAGGTACCACTGTATATACTTGCATTGCTGCACAATTGAAAAACTAAAGCAGTTTTACCACAGCATATCAATTTCATAAAACAAAAACTTGTGTTGTTCAACCCACCCATCCCTGCAAACCAGGTAAAACACCAGCACTGGGGAAAAAAACAAAATGCACACCAAAGTAGCACCCACCAGAAAGAGGCAACCCACCCATGAGTGTATTTAACAGCATCCTCACTTTGTTCAGAAGTAGTATTTCAATAGTCTTTCAGACCTTGATTGTTTGCTGTACACTATAGCACACAGTTTGTTCAATTTATGAGTAAGCTATTGTTGTTTTTCAACTTCATGTGTTCATATCATTAGCAATGCTATTATGTGTGGTCTTGGAATGAGTCAGCATTATGAGCTAGGCATATTTTTTGCCATTTTCCTTCCCAAGTACCAGTTTCTAAGGCAACCTGGCTCTTTGATGGGAATAAGCCAAGGCAACACATGGCATGCTTTCTGTTTAGCATTCTACTATAATTTACTTAATGAAAGTTTTGAAACAAAGGACACAGAAAATATGGTAGTTACAACAACAGGAAAGGACAATGGTGGACCTAATTAACAATATTTCCTTTTTAAATAATAAAAGGCAATGTGAGTAGATTTTTTTGAGATGGATAGGTAATTGTCTTTTTAATATAAAATTTGGGTTGGGGAGGCCTGGTGACTATTGTCCTAGTGAGCAAAAAAAAAAGATAGTCAGTGCTTTTTAGTAAGGGTGGCTGCCAAGAATATATCCCTCTATTTAAAGCCTGCTGCAACCAAACACTCTTTCATGGCGGTTAATCAGGTTATCATTGGCTAGTAGTCATGATGACTCCAGGTTAAGGCACAGCATGCTTCTGAATACTAGTTGTTGGGTGGGGACAACAGTGGGAGAGGACTGTTGTCCTGGTTGTAAACACCTTGCTGGTATCTGGTTAGTCATTGGAATACAGGGTGCCTTCCTAGTTTGGCATTCTTATTCTTTGATGTGGAAGTGTTGGGTGCTGTTGTGTCCTCAGCAGTCACAAGGGCCAGAAAAGTTGCAAAAATAAAGCCCATGTGTGGCGTTTGCCCTCCTAGGTGTGTGACATCATACTGGGTTCATAAGGAAAGGGTTAACTAATTGTAAAATGACTAACCTATAGGAACCCAAGGGGAAGAGTTACAGTTGTTAAGAAGTCAGTCTGGAGTCAGAGAAGAGAGAGGGAGGATAAGTTTGTGGGTTGGGCTAGTCTGATGTGAGAGAGTGAGAGAATCTGTTAAGAGGAGTCAGGCAAAAGTTGAGATACTCAGTCAGAAGGTATTAAGAAGGTATAGGCCAGTAAAGAAACTAAGGTTAAGAAACTGACAAGAAAATTATCTGAGAAACTATAAACTTGTTAATGCTTATAAAATAAACTTGTTTATTTGGTTTAATTTTAACAACTGTCTGGACTCAGTGTGTACCCGAGAGTAACGGGTTGGTGGCAGCAGGGAAGCGAGCACAGTGGTGGCACAGGGATCAATAGAGCGTCAAACGTCTGGGGACCCTGTGTGATCGCCACACCATGCTTCCTACTTTCCCCGAAGAGAATAAAATGCTATTGTTCTGCACTTCTACTGTTCTAGTCACCTAGTCTATTTGTTTTCAGGGAATGGATAGCTGTCTGTCTGTCGGTCTGTCTGTCCAAGAGATGTTACAGCTGATACATGAACAGCTGCTGGTATAAATTACTTCATTGCCAGATTTAGGGTGGTGCAGGTGGCTCCCCAGCACAGGGAGCTGCGCTGAGGGATCACTAAATAGTGCGCTTGAGAGCATACGCAGAATGAAAGGCGAGGGCACTTTTAACAAACTCTGTTCCAAAAGGAATCGTTGTGTAAAAAATAAATGGGAGGGTAAATTTTGTTCTCTCTTAGGCACCATATTATGAACGTCCGCCCCTGACTTCATCCTAGCGATGTGGCCTGGGTACCTACAATAAAAACTGTATTTGTTAGTATCCACATATTATGAATGTGCACCTTAGGATACCGTGCAGTTTCACCCAAAACTTGATGTATATCCCCTTCCTAGACAGATAGTCCATCTGCTAGCTGTGCCTTGCTTTTATTGTTTGATCTTGTCTAATTCAGTGCTCACTCTCTAAATGCCTGTTCAGAACTTCCTCCTCTTTGCCAGACTCTAATGGAAAGAATTAGAGTTGATTGTCAGCAGCACCATGTGTTAAACAGCACAGTGGACAAAATAGAGCTCTAAAGAACTCTGTATCTGAAATGCCACGGGTCTGAGCAAAAGTCCTCCAACACCACCTTAATCATTCTTGCTCCATTCTTCTTAGGGAGGATGACCAAGGCAGTTTCAGTTCCATACCTAGGTCAAAATCTAGACTGAAACTGTTCAAGATATATAGTTGAGTGTTACCGCCAGATTGAAGAAATATTTTAACAGCCATAAAGTCAATGTCCTCGTAAACATATTTATAGCTATAATATAAAGTATTATATCTGAAGACACCCTGAATGCACTGAAGTTGCGTTTGCGTGTTTGAGCCCTCTTTCATTTTTGCTGTATTTAGTGCTCCCTTCCCGTAATACTTATAACACTTTTGTATAGGAAAATGATGTTGTTACATTACGAAGAAGGGCTTCGCGTGGTGATACATACATCCAACCTTATTGATGATGATTGGTACCAGAAAACACAAGGGTAAGAAAGTTATTATAATATAATAATAATTTATTATTTGTACCCCGCCCAACTGGCTGGGTTTCCCCAGCCACTCTGGGCGGCTTCCAACAGAGACTAAAAATACATTAAAACATCAGTCCTTAAAAACTTCCCTAAAGGACTCTTGACTTCCATAGCAACTGTTAGAATATATTATTATTATTATTGTTATTATTATTACTACTACTACTACTACTACTTATTAGCTTTATCTACCGCCCTTCATCGTAAGATCTTATGGCAGCTCACAGAATAAAATAGTATGCTGTATGACTGTCATTTGTATCATTGGGTTTTTGAAAACCTTGTATATTGCATGTGTTTAATGTATATACGTCCAGGATTCTCAGAGGTTATGCACAACCACTCACTGTTTAGGAAGGCATTTAATATTGTGGTTTATGGCTACATGGCATATATTATTTCCTCTTTAATGGTCTCTGGGCTGCCTTATTTCCCAGAGGATCCATTGTTGGCTTGCCTCAAATGCCTTCCGTTATAAAACCCACTGGCAAACTTCCAGTCCAGACAATGGTACAGCTAATAAGCCCCATTCCTTATCCAATGTAGAATCTAAAACAATAAAGTCACACAGGATGAAGTATTTCAAAATAATGAATTGTAGATTTATTATCACCTTATCTGTATTTTGGTCGTAGATGGTATGATGGCCAGAACAATAAGTGAAAGTATGATTGATTACTGCATGATTTCTAAAGTAGAGATTTCAGCTATTACAGGGAATTGTCAATCTTGGACTGTTTCATATTTATAAATATAAATAGAGGACCCCTAGTTAGTTTATTGCTCCAATAACTTAAGTTCACCTTCAGACGATACTTGCTTGGGTCAGGCTGCTCAGAAGTCATAAAATGCAGTCTTTACTTTTTACAGAAAATATGATCCAGGTAAGTTTTATTCTTTATAAAACATACTTTTCCCCCTATTGTATTTTTAGCAGGTGGGTAGTAAAGTGATATTTGATGCTAAGTCAAATTTCTAGTTTCTTTCCTGATACAGAAATTATACTGATATTCTTGTGAGAAACAAAGAAAATGTGTCAGTGACATTGTGGATAGACTTAAGTGATACAAGAGCTCTTTTGTTTGTTTGTTGGCAATAGACAATGCAGCTCATATTGAAAAATTGTCTACGTAGCTAGGGAAGGTCCTGTCTCCTCAGTTGAACTATAAGATAACTATTGTTATTGGAGGTAAAAGTAGCATGTTACAAAGTTATCTACCACATAATGTTTTGCCTATTGCTACTTGCCTTTTTGTATCTGCTGCTAGGATATTCAAACAAAGGACATATTTAGGCAGTTTTCAAAGCTGGCTAAATTCCTCAGCTGTCCGGAGGAGATTTAGGGAGCATTGGGAAGGAGAGAAGTCCGGTTGCACAAATGAACAGCATTCCGTGCATGCAACAACGTAGCTGAATTTCACTTCATGATTTGAAACATTTCCAGATAGTTAAGCTTGAATATTTCCTTTAAATAAGGGCAGAATAAGTCAGTTCCCTGAGCTTTACTTTTGAAAGATGATGCACCACAATTGTAAAAAAGAGAGAAAAGAATGGAAACCTTTATTCTTTAAATTTGATAGAAATTAACTCTGCTCCATGAAAGCATTTTCTATAACACGTTAGGGCAAGATCCAGCATTAGTTGGCTATCACACTGAGTCTTTAACAAAACTATTTGTTGTTCTAAATGCAATATAATCATTTGGTGATACATCAGCCATTCTTTTACTTCTGTCTTCCAGAATATGGCTAAGCCCTCTGTATCCAAAACTGCCACTTGGAGCTGCTGAGGCTGCTGGTGAATCTCGTACCAATTTTAAGTGTGACCTAATAAGCTATTTGAGGTCTTACGGTTCTCCTACTCTCAATGAATGGGTTGAAATAATCAAGCAGCATGATTTTTCAGAGACAAGGTACATAATCTGAGAGGGGTTACTTTTGCAACGAATTGCACTGAATTCTTATTCCTGGCTTGCTTTCCTTTTTTTTTTTTTTTTTAGCATGTTGAGAAGGATAGAGGGAAGGGGTGCAGTGAGAATGGAGCAGTGATAAAATTAAGGTTTTAACTGAAAGCTGGTTGCATTTTTAAAAAATCGTTTTCTCTTTGCATGTTGGAACAATTTAACTAGGCAGTAGCATCTTTGAGAAGACTTAATGCCTGATAATAGCGCAATTTGGAAAAGCACTGTAACCTTTACCATAATTCGGCATGCTTTCATTTGTGTCTACATCTTTTGTGTAGAGTATATCTTCTTGGGTCAACTCCAGGTCGATACCAAGGCAGTGAAAAAGAGAAATGGGGTCATCTCAGACTTAGAAAGGTACTGGATTTTTATTCCTATCCCTCTAAGGATGTATTGTTGAAGCTCTTCTTTTTCAAGGCTTGCCTCCAGTAGTTCTTTGTTGACAGCGGAAACTGACAAGGTGAGAAAGGTGCATCTTCAGTTGGTGGCTCAGGGGTAGTAGCATGTCTCTAACTTGCTACACAAATGTAAATGGAATATCTATAAAATACTTGGTGTTAGTGTTACTCTTCCAGTGCGGAGAGTTAGAGTACTTCTGTGCTGAACACTGAGGGAATTGTGCAGTTTGAGAAACTATCTTGATAACTGGGCTATTTGGTGGTACACATAATAAAAGGTAGTGGCAGGTTACATTCAGCAAAAAGAATTGCAGAGAAGACCAGAGAAGTGTGTGGCCAGAGAAGACCATACCTCCTGATATAGCATGGAGATGAGAATCTTTAGCTTTCTGGGTACAATAGAGACATTGACCATAGTGAGGTACTGAGGCATAAGCTTTTGTGAGTTGGAATGTTCTTGGTCCTATGTTCCATTGGTTTCTGAATTGTCATTGGTGTTCTGATATGACACCCCCCCAAAAAAAATAAAGTCCTTTGGGTCTGTGTAAAATGGCAGAAGAGGGCACTGTTGGTAGGTGATGGCACAAATCATACTGGAGAAATTGGGAGCAGATTACACTTTTAACTAGATCCTGTGGGTTCATAAAACTAGGTGTCTTTTCCCCGCTTAGCCCAGTGTGTCCCCAAGTATATGTAGGAGGAGACTGAGAGGAGATACGATAGCCATCTTCAAATATCTGAAGGCCTGTCCCATGGAAGATGGAGAAAGCTTGTTTTCTCCTGCTCCAGAAGGGAGGACTCAAACTAGTGGTTTAAAGTTACAAGAAAGGAGATTCCAACTAAACATCAGGAAGAACTTTCTGACAGTAAGATATGTTCAACAGTGGTCTCCTCAGGAGGTTGTAGATGTTCCTTCATTGGAGGTTTTAAAGTGCAGGATGGATGGTTTAGTTGAGATTCCTGCATTACAAAGAGTTGGACTAGATCAGGGGTCCCCAAACTAAGGCCCGCAGGCCGGATAAGGTCTGAGGGAATTGTTTATCCGGCCCGCACCGCCGCCCGCTCTTACCGGCACTGCGCTGCGAGGCTGCCCACTTCCGGGTCGGAGGAGCACCAGAAATAGCTTATGCGCAAGCGTTGTTTGCGGTGCACATCCGGGTCGGAGGAGGCCCGTGCACATGCGCACAAGCTATTTCCGGGGCTCCTCCAACCCGGAATTGCACCAGAAATAACATGTGCGCATGCGTATGGGCACATGCTCCCCCACCCTCTGGCCTGCCACGCAATCAGCACTGGAGACACCAGCCCGAGGCGTGGTAAGTTTGCTGACCCCTAGACTAGATGATCCTTGGGGTCCTTTCCAACTCTGCAATTCTATAGTTCTTTGTACCTACCAGCTTACCAGACCATGCAATTGTGAGACTAATTCATGGAAGCTTATGCCAGGAGCATCTTAAGCTCAGAGTCGTGGGTTTGAGCCCACATTGGGCAAAATATTCCTGCATTGCAGAGGGTTGGACTAGATGACCCTCACAGTCCCTTCCAACTTTGATTCTGTGATTCCGTAAGGTACGCAAGGATTTGGCCATTTTTGCTGTTAACATAATAACATGACTTTCCTATTGTTTTTAAACAATGAGGGAACTCTGTCATGGTATTTTTTAGGGAGAAACTAAGCATTCAGCACAGATACCTATTATGAATCCACTGGTGGTAAAGGAGGGTTGGATGAGATGCTGGCTGGGTAGCTAATCAGATTAATGACGTCCTTCATAATAAGCAATCCCTTTGTCATACTTCAGCTAATCAAGTGACTTTGTTCAGTACAACTTGAATTGCCAAAGGTGGTGATGTTTTGTTCTTGTATCCAATTTCTCCCCAACAGCTTTTGAAAGAGCATGCAACCCAGCTACCTGATCAGCATTCTTGGCCTGTAATAGGACAGTTCTCAAGCATTGGATCTTTGGGAGCTGATCATTCCAAATGGCTGTGTTCAGAATTTAGAGACAGTTTGATCTCTCTGGGAAACAACACAAAGACACTGTCAAATCATGATGTTCCTGTTCACCTGGTATTGCTTACTTACTGCTTTTTTTAAATAAATAAAAAAACCCACACATTTTCCTTCAAAACTTCAGCTAGCGGGTAATCTTCCAAATCCTTTTGACGTTCTTAGAGTTGAATGCAGCAAAAGACTAATGTTTAAGCCCCATTGAACTCGATAGACTTTGTGCATTTAAAAATTCTCCTGAGTTAATGTATAACACCATACTCGTGTTGTATGCAAAAACTCACTGCTCACTTTTATTTTTTAAAAAAGATTTTGAATTCTGAGAGTCTTACTTATTTCTGCAGACCTTTTTCCAAGTAGGGCTGTGGCTTAAGCTGTTTGCTACCATGTTACTTGGCACAAATGGCTTGAGCTTAATTGTGCTTCAATAGAGTATAGCTGTCAACTCAGCTACAATTTATTATAGCTAACTAGTTATTACAATTTGTTACTTTAGGTTTACCCATCAGTGGACAACGTGAGACAGAGTTTAGAAGGTTATCCAGGTAAAAACATATGCCTTTGGGTGCAGTGTAGAAAGGGGGTATTATAAAGTTGGGGAAAAACAAGAGAGGAGTTTCTAGAAGTTTCATGGTATTTTAAAACTTATTTTAAAAAACATTTTTCTCTATTCATTCTTTCAACCCTCATAATGGCTCCTGAGGCAGATCACCCTCGAAAGTTAATTATGTAATAAAATATAAAGAGCCTAAGAATATAAGAATATAGGATCAACACATTATGAAAAAGACTGAGTGGGAGGTGAGAATCAACACGAACCAAACGCCCATCAGAATAAAACTGTCTTGGCCTTGATATTTTCATAACTAAATACATTTATCATACATGAAAGACATATTGCATAGTTAATTTATGCTCTACTAATGTGAACTTGCAAGTTATTGCTGGCATTTTCCGTGTCACTTCCAATTGACTCTTCCATCTTGATGTTTATTTTATGTACTGCAGGTTCCATATCACATAATTGAAAATCTGCATATAGAGTATTCTTTAAAGAGGCTGGGGTGTAAATTGCTTTTTAAAATCCTACTAAATCTGTTTTTTTGTGCATGTATAGGGAAAATTTGTGAATAATTCATTATTCTATTGTGAGAAACCATTTCAATGCCACACTTAACTATGAGTAATGGGTCTTTTCTTTCTCTCTAAGCTGGTGGTTCTCTTCCGTACAGTATACAAACAGCACAGAAACAGCTTTGGCTGCACTCTTACTTCCAGTAAGTAAAATTATCTCCTCTTGATTTAATGACATTTTGGGTTTGTTTGTTTTTTAAAAAGATCCGTTACATTTGCAGGAGAAATAGGCATACAAACAAGGAAATCAGAGAAGCCTTGGAAAGTTCATTTTTAAAACTCATTGGATTGTGATGTACATTCCTATATAATCTTTAAGCTTTCTCAGAAATTGAGGTGGCCTGATCCAGCGAATGTTATTTTATGTCTTGATTGCAAAAAAAGAAGAACATCAGTAGACAGTGATGAGCGGCAACAAAGTGCTCTTACCTCTTTTGATTTTTTTGTAAACATACATACATTCCTTGGTTTAAGTCAAGTGTAATTTGAATTTGTCAATGGGCACAATGCACTTAGATTCCAGTCACAATTAACATTGAAGGGTAAAAGGTTTGGTTAATTGTGACTGGAATCTAAGCGCATTGTGCCCATTGACAATTCTTGCATGTGAGAGTGCTGGTGGGGTGCTTAGCAATGAGGCTAAACCTGCACAGTTGATCATTATCAGGTCATATGCTCTAGGCATGGTTGCAGAATGCTGCTTTGCACAGTACGAGTAATAAGGGCATAAACCATGTTTGAAGACTTTTCCTGTGTATACTGAAAATAGATGTGGATAGCCACTTCAAACTTTGTACACTCTTATCTATAACATGGGGATTGGCCTTTATTTGAAGCTTGGCAGAAACGCTTGGGAACGATGTGAATTTGAAAACATCTTAATTAAGGTTTAACCTAAAACTTCCCTTTTCATTTTTTAATACTTGAGCAAGTGGTCAGCAGAGACGTCAGGTCGTAGCCACGCAATGCCTCACGTTAAGACTTACATGAGATCATCTCCAGACTTCCAGAAGATTGCATGGTTTCTAGTTACAAGGCAAGTCTTTGACTTCTTTTGTATTTCCTCCGGAACAGCTGCTTTGATTATCATTTGGCCCCTCTGCTCTCTTTTAATTAAAATAGGCAGCAATTTTGGTGTTTTTCTTTCTTTCTTGTGAGTCTCAGAAATGGGCGGTCCCTCTTTCATTGAGTTTTTCTCTCTCTAGTGCCAATCTTTCTAAGGCTGCTTGGGGAGTGTTTGAGAAAAATGGCACGCAGATGATGATCCGATCATATGAGCTAGGAGTCCTCTTCCTGCCATCAGAATTTGTGAGTTTATCTAATTCCATATAATTCTTCATTTAGTGAATGCAATCAAGTCTTTTTATGTATTCATAAATACATAAATACCATTATGACATCAGTTCATCAGGCAATGTGCATCTGTATCACAGTTCCAAAAAGTTGTGAAACTGCCCTTTTGAGGTCTTGCGCAGTTTGGAACAAGACATTTACAAAGCTAATAAAATGTCTGTTTCTTTAGTTTGGGTCAGCTATTTAACATCTAGCCAAGTTCTAATTGGAGTAGACCCATTTAAATAAATGGACCTAAGTTACTCAGGCCCTTTAATTTCAATGTGTCTACTCCCAGTATGACTAACGCTGGATACAGGACTATATGTTGTAGCTGCTAACCAGGGAAGAAGGAAATGTAAGCAGAATATATGTTTGCAAGCCTCATGGATATTTTCTGATGAAAGGAAGTGAAGTGATGGATTGAATGTAACATCACTTCTCTCTGTGTGTGTGCACTTTTCACAGGGCTTGGATGCAGGCTACTTCCAAGTGAAGGAAAACATGTTTTCTGATGAGCCGGTGTTAGCGTTTCCTGTACCTTATGATCTGCCCCCAGAGAAGTATGAAAGCAAAGGTAAGATGTCCTCCTCAAATGTAGGGGAAAAGGACAAGTATCACACTTGAGCAAAAGACCTTTTTATTCTTTGACACTTGGCGGGGGAATAACTATAATTGTTGATGGGAGCTAAGGGAGATGATATCTAGAAAGTGAGACTAACCCAAAAGAGACCAATGGAAGTCATTTTTAAAGTATCAGAATTGTCTGGCTCATCAAAAGAACTAGATCCTCCACATAAGACTAGCTGTGGCAACTTGTGCTTCACATCTGGGGATGAGACTTAACAGCCAAGCTTTGGAAATCCTGCTTGGCTCTAAAACCCTCAAGTAGGTCATTATGGATCTGCCCAAGTGTTGTTACAATGATGGGCTGAGTTTGGAAGAAGAATGGGACACAAGTAGCAACAAATAGAATAGCCTTTCAATCTTTGATAGGCTGGTCCTATGATTCCGTTTGTGCCAGGTAGCTTATTTGCCGAAATTGGGCTTTCAAAAATGTATGCCCTTCCCCTCCCTTGCATACCTGTGTGGGTGCCTTGCAAATTCATTTAGAAGAATGTGACATTGGGCTTCCAGGTGGGTGTTTGTCTCTGATGTATCTATGAGGGGGTCTTAAAGGTAAAGGGGTCCAGTCGCGAACGACTCTGGGGTTGCGGCGCTCATCTCGCTTTATTGGCCGAGGGAGCCAGCGTACAGCTTCCGGGTCATGTGGCCAGCATGACTAAGCCGCTTCTGGCGAACCAGAGCAGCGCACGGAAGCGCCATTTACCTTCCCGCCAGAGCAGTACCTATTTATCTACTTGCACTTTGACATGCTTTCGAACTGCTAGGTGGGCAGGAGCAGGGACCGAGCAATGGGAGCTGACCCCATCACAGGGATTCGAACCGCCGACCTTCTGATCAGCAAGTCCTAGGCTCTGTGGTTTAGACCACAGGGCCACCTGTGTCCTTAAGGAGTCTTAAGAAAGCATAATACTTTTGTCCTTCCTGTAGCCTTGGCTTGCTGTTTGTACAAAATGTTACCTTTCCACTACCTCCCCTTCCATCATGTTATCTTATCAGAAAATCCCACATGTGTCACCCGAGGTCTCTGGAATTGTGAAGGGAGAGAGCGCTGTTAGCAAGCTGTATTTCCTCGTTGGACTTCTATATTCCTGATGGTGATATGATTAGCTGCAGCATCAATAGGGTTCTTTTCCTCCCATCGTGATGTGGTGTGACTGGGATCTTCACTGGCTCTAGAGTGCTTTAATTTATGCATCCTCTTATTCAGGTGTAACATTTTGCTGGGACTAGTCCCAAGTGAGCATAGCATTTCAACCTCTTCCAGCTTCTTGCTCAGCTCTGCCTAGTTTCTGCTCTTCTGCTAGCAAATCCTGCTGTACAGAGAGAAATAAGACTTCTATACCTCTTGATGTGATCCTGAGATGCTGCTGTGATGGATTGTTGGTGTTTTTGTTTTGTTTTTTGGCAAGTATAACTTCATGCTCCACCAGCCCAAAGGGAGAAAATGTGTGCAAGTCAAGGAAAGGATTGTACTAAAAGTTTCATTCGCTGTTGTCAGGCAGTTTACCTCTTTGGTCCACTGAGGCAGGCTGCCAACCTTGGTCCCATTTATTGAACAGTCTCACTTATGGAGAACTCTAGATTCTTCATTTCCTGACTTTGAGAGGAGCTGACTAGCCTCCGTTTTCTTCTTGGCAGTGAAAAACGTCGTAAATCCACAGGTTCAGAAATTGACCTGCTATATGACATTGTCTCTCTTTAAATCATTGCAAATTGCTGCATTTGCAGGAGACATAATTTCACGGCTTCCTATTATGTGCAGTTTGAGAGGAGTGTTTTATTCTGGCTGATACAATCAAAGGTTGCTTTGTTCATTGTGCAGTAGATTAATATACTTAAGATGAAATGCTATGTCTGTTTTACAAATGGGTATCATCACTTTGCGCAGAAGGAGCAAGAAAATGTGAAGCATTGTTGCTTTCCCTTCATTTTGAAGCTGGGCTTTTAGCATGTCTTTGTGTGCATTAGAATTCTGCTAGTGGGGTAGCTTTTCAAAGGTTGGTACATAGAATTGCAAAACCCCTGAGGGTCTCTGAGAGGATTCTTTTCAAGGAAAGGCTTTGAAATTGTCTTTTCCCTTCTTCTCCACCCTCCTCTGGTTTCCAGTAAGCAAAATCTGGAAAGGGCTGCAAGATTTTATCCAGTGAAGTATCCCAAGAAACCTGAAGTGCTAAGTCCTAGCAGAGCACAATGTTTTCAATGAAAGGTGTTCCTGTTGACAGCCCTTTAGGAGACGTTGAGAAAGGTACCTAAGGAATGCTGCCTAAGTTAAGTTGACAACGCAGTTATGCAGCTCTATCAGTCTACATCCTGTGGAGAAGTATTATTGAAAGAAATCGGACAGGACTTTAAGCTGTAAACTCAGCTCTGCAAAATCTTCATTGTTTTCTTGTGGGCCAGAGCTGTACAACTCAGGACTACCATGAAAAAAGCAAGCAGGGGATATACCAATATGTGGGGTCTCCCTTTGGAATGGTTAAATATATGTCTGCATACTTTGCTTCTTCCTCTGTGTCTTTTCCCTGCATATCTGTTACACCTTTTGCTTCCTTTCCTGTGAAAACATAGGGTTTGAAGTGTGACCCCGCTTTGTAAAGCTCTATGAATAACTAGTGGGGAGTCTAAAAGTGTTAAAAACAGCAACACAACTTTGAGGAAAAGTAGACCGAAATAAAGCCCTGCTATAGACCTGTTAGACAGGCCTAACTAAACACTAATTTTTCTAAGGTGCCATCTCACATTGTAAATAAATGTTAATGGATTGTTTTAACATTTTTCAATTCAGTAACTTTGTCTAAATCTTCAGAGAAAGTTGTATTAGTCTTATTTTCTTGTATGTTAAAATAAGGCCATTTTTCATTAGCAAATGAGAAAACCATAGAAGGCTATAGTTTGTACCATAACTAGAATGAATGCAGTTTTCTAGCGCTGTTCTGCTGTACATATTGTACTGCTGCTGTATGTACCACTGTGTAAGGTTTCCAAATTGCTTTGTCGTTATTATTTTTTGCAGCACACATTGCCTATTGTTACACAGTGTATCCAAGGTATTAATTGTTAGCAATGACCTTGAGAGAAGGGCAATGACAGGCCTAGACAGCATCTTGAGAAGTAGAGACGTCACCTTGCCAACAAAGGTCCGTATAGTTAAAGCCATGGTTTTCTCAGTAGTGATGTATGGAAGTGAGAGCTGGACCATAAAGAAGGCTGATCACCGAAGAACTGATGCTTTTGAATTGATGCTTGAGAGCCAGTGTGGTGTAGTGGTTAAGAGCGGTAGTCACGTAATCTGGGAAACCAGGTTCGCGTCTCTGCTCCTCCAACATGCAGCTGCTGGGTGACCTTGGCCAGTCACGCTTCTGTGAAGTCTCTCAGCCCCACTCACCTCACAGAGTGTTTGTTGTGGGGGAGGAAGGGAAAGGAGAATGTTAGCCGCTTTGAGACTCCTGAAGGGGAGTGAAAGGCGGGATATCAAATCCAAACTCTTCTTCTTCTTCTTCTTCTTGGCATCACTCAGATACTGTAACATGGCTTGTATTGGACAGCTATTTAAAATTTTAAAAGATGATGCTGTTAAGGTGCTACACTCAATATGCCAGCAAATTTGGAAAACTCAGCAGTGGCCAGAAGATTGGAGAAGATCAGTCTACATCCCAGTCCCAAAGAAGGGCAGTGCCAAAGAATGCTCCAACTACCGCACAATTGCACTCATTTCACACGCTAGCAAGGTTATGCTTAAAATTCTACAAGGAAGGCTCAAGCAGTATGTGGATCAAGAACTCCCAGAAGTGCAAGCTGGATTTAGAAGAGGCAGAGGAACCAGAGACCAAATTGCAAACATGCGCTGGATTATGGAGAAAGCTAGAGAGTTCCAGAAAGACATCTACTTCTGCTTCATTGACTATGCAAAAGCCTTTGACTGTGTTGACCACAGCAAACTATGGCAAGTTCTTAAAGAAATGGGAGTGCCTGATCACCTCATCTGTCTCCTGAGAAATCTCTATGTGGGACAAGAAGCTACAGTTAGAACTGGATATGGAACAACTGATTGGTTCAAAATTGGGAAAGGAGTACGACAAGGCTGTATTTTGTCTCCCTGCTTATTTAATTTATATGCAGAATACATCATGCGAAAGGCTGGGCTGGATGAATCCCAAGCTGGAATTAAGATTGCCAGAAGAAATATCAACAACCTCAGATATGCAGATGACACAACCTTGATGGCAGAAAGTGAGGAGGAATTAAAGAACCTTTTAATGAGGGTGAAAGAGGAGAGCGCAAAATATGGTTTGAAGCTCAACATCAAAAAAACGAAGATCATGGCCACTGGTCCCATCACCTCCTGGCAAATAGAAGGGGAAGAAATGGAGGCAGTGAGAGATTTTACTTTCTTGGGCTCCATGATCACTGCAGATGGTGACAGCAGCCACGAAATTAAAAGACGCCTGCTTCTTGGGAGAAGGGCAATGACAGGCCTAGACAGCATCTTGAGAAGTAGAGACGTCACCTTGCCAACAAAGGTCCGTATAGTTAAAGCCATGGTTTTCTCAGTAGTGATGTATGGAAGTGAGAGCTGGACCATAAAGAAGGCTGATCACCGAAGAATTGATGCTTTTGAATTATGGTGCTGGAGGAGACTCTTGAGAGTCCCATGGACTGCAAGAAGATCAAACTTATCCATTCTTAAGGAAATCAGCCCTGAGTGCTCACTGGAAGGACACATCGTGAAGCTGAGGCTCCAGTACTTTGGACACCTCATGAGAAGAGAAGACTCCCTGGAGAAGACACTGATGCTGGGAAAGATGGAGGGCACAAGGAGAAGGGGGCGACAGAGGATGAGATGGTTGGATAGTGTTTTCGAGGTTACCAGCATGAGTTTGACCAAACTGCGGGAAGTAGTGGAGGACAGAGGTGCCTGGTGTGCTCTGGTCCATGGGGTCACGAAGAGTCTGACACGACTAAACGACTAAACAACAACAACAACAGCAATCAACCTCCTGAAGCTTCGCCAGAGGAAGAATCTTTGTGGCAAACAAACACCCTGCACAGTACATAGGCTTTGAGGAAGGCCTGCAATGGGGACCTTGCTAGTTATTTAGATGATATGCTCCTTCAGCCTCTGCTTGGTCATCTTTGTTTTTTAAACATTGGGCCGGGCCTCTGTTTGACTTCACCGATTTGTCTCTCTCCCTGCCTCGTAGTGGCTCTGTAGAAGACGAGTAGAAACACGGCAGGCATCCTTGGTTAGCAAAGCTGCACACACTTAAATAGATTCTATAAAGTCTGTAAAGATTCTGCATTGTTGGGCGTTTTGTTTTGGGTTTCTCCAGTCTGTGTGTTGTGCCAACCACCAAAATGACATGCAGACTGCTGAGAGAATCGGAACTGCAAAATTGCACCGGAATAGAAGGGAAAGTGCCATAGCTGCAAATACACTGTAGAGACCTGTTTCCTTCTAGCTCAGCCACCTAAAAAACCCCCGCTGGATCCGGCCCATGGCCAGTCTAGTCCAGCATCCTGTTCTCACAGTGGCCAACTGGATGCCCGTGGAAAACCTGCAAGCAGGACCTGGGCACAAGAGGGCAACTGGTAGTCAGACGCATTTGCTGTCTCCAACTGTGGAGGCAGAGCATAGTCGAGCATAGCTAGGAGCCGTAGATAGGTTTATTCTCCATGAATTTGTTTAATGCCATTTTAAAGCCACCCAAATTGGTGTCAACCATTGCCTCCTGTGGGAGAGAGTTCCATAGTCCAACTATGCAACTGTGTGAAGACGTAGTCTCTCTTGTCGGTCCTGATTCTTTTAGCATTCAGCTTCATTGAATGTCCACGAGTTGTAGCATTACAGGAGAGGGAGAAAAGCTTTTCTCTGCCCACTTCCTCCCTGCCATACATAATTTCATAAACTCATATCATGTCACCTTTTCTCTAAACTAGGAAGTCCCAAATGCTGCAATTTTCCTCAGCCTTGATCATTTTGGCCCCTCTTTCTTCCCTTTCTACCTGGGTTTATTATTTATCCCATTTACTTTATTGATTTATTTCCTACCTTTCAAGGTAACACATTTCTGAGGAACCTTGCAACACGAATAAAAACAATAGTATGGAGCAATTAAAAGTACATCTATCGTCAGAAAGCTTTTAAAATGTTATGTTAAAATGTTATGTGACAGCTTAGAGCACTAAGAGTTATTGATAGGAAGCCTGATGGAACCAAAAAGTCTTGGCAGTACTTCCAAAGACATCCCCTATGTAAAATTGAGAGTAAATTGGTAATTTCATGTAGAAATCCTAGTCAATTAAAAAAAAAATTCAAGGGAATGAATAGCAGTTGAAATCAAAACTGCACAAAATCAGTAAAACCAGAGGAGAAAACTGCAAAACAATTATATGAGCTACAATAAAAGCCTGTCTATATACTGTATATACTCGTGTATAAGCCAACCCTAGTATAAGCCGAGGCACCTAATTTTAGCACAAAAAACTGGGAAAGCTTATTGACTTGAGTATAATCCGGTTCACCACACCACAAACCTGGTGGTAGCGGCAGAGGAAGAACAAGCAGCCCGAAAGTGCTGCTTTCGGGCTGTTCGTTCCTCCGCCGACAGTGGCAAAGGAGGAGGAGGAGGAACGAGCAGCCCAAAAGCCCAAGAGCAGCCACTCGTCCCTCTGCTGCTGCCTCTGCTGCTCACAAGAGCAGGCATAGGAGCCACAGCTGGGTGAGGCACAGTGCAGCGCCTCTCCCAACCATGGCTGCTGTGCCTGCCCTTCTGAGAGGCGGGTGGCGGCGGCGGGACCAGCGGTGAGAAAGGGCTCCTTTCGGGCCGCTCGTCCTTCCGCTGCCGCCACCTGCCTCACTCGAGTATAAGATGAGGGGGCCTTTTTCAGCATTAGAAATGTGCTGAAAAAGTCAGCTTATACTCGAGTATATACGGTAGACATATTTTTTAAATAGTGTTGGTTATAAGTCCCTGCCCTTCTATGAAGCCCTCTGAGTTGCCTTGGTTAACCAACTTTACAGGATTATTGCGAGGAAGGGCTGGGTACAAATATATTTTTTTAAATCATAGTTGAGAAATCTGTGCACTTGTGGAAATTTCAGGTAATAATCTTGCTGCTGTTACATCAATCAAATTGTACCCTGGTATTCCTTCTGCTGTAATGTGTCATGCAGTTCTGACCTTTCTTTACAAATGAAATAATGTTCTCTGTTGTAGGGATATCGCGGAGTGGGGAGTGGGGTCCAGAGGGAGCACACTTCCCCACCAGCAGGCAGCCACGTCTGCCTGCATGCATGACCTTGGGGTGCAGGGAAAACCCTCCCCCCCAGACAAGCCACAGCTGTCTGTACATCGTTCCACCTGTGTCTGACCTTTTGCAGTCTCAGCAGTCAGCAGTGTCCTGTCTGTAACTTTTTCCTTAGAGACCATTTGTCTCCATTCGTCATACACTGTGCAAGGGGAAAATGACGCTGTGGAACAGGTGCCAAAATAGCTTTGTACCACCCCACGATCTCGGGACGGAAGATGTGTAAAGGTCACAGCCCAAAATGTATCTGCCTGGCTTGCATATTTGTCTCAATAAAAGGAGGCTCCACAGGAATGGCAGCAACTCGCTACAGCCCACCTGTGCGCAGCTCACATGATGATCAACACCTGTCTTGGGCCTTCACTTCACTCTGTACCTGGTTTTACAAAACTATCCCAACCCCTGAACTTCCCTGCTCCTCCTTTTGAAGTGTAGAAGCATTCTTTGTGCATTCCAGTTTCTCCCCTATGCTGTAGGCTTGGTTTCAAGTAGGGTATTAATAGGGCTCTAAAAGTATCCCCCATTGTCTGAGTTCTGTAACAGTAAATGGATTTGGTAAGTATTGCTTAGGTGGATTGTGTCTTACAGCCCATTAACCATTTCTAGCATCTAAGATAAAGCTAAGCTGAAGATGAAATATTGCAGATTCTGACAAAGCAAATTGGCATATACATATTCAATATATTGATTAATGCTCCAGTTAGTGCCCTTGGCTATGCGCCCCAACATTAAACTTTGCTATAAGAGGGTGATGCTTCTTTGGACGAACTGCTTGTGTGTTTTGTTGTGTGGTTATAAAGCTTAATCATACCTCAAAGATTTCATCACCAAACTTGACACAAGGCTTCTCAAAGTAAGGGCGGTAGATTTCATTTCTGTTGGATGATGGGCGCCATTCTGAATCACGATAGTGGACAAAAACTTCATTTTGACGTGACTTTGTTTTTTGACATAGATTGTGTCTCCTCTTGAGACATCAATGCCAAACATGGCACAAGGGTTTGCAAGGTGGGAACAGTGGTCTTGTCTGGATGCCCGGGGCCATTTTGAATCAAGATGGCAGATGAAAACTTGACCTTGGATTGACTTCACCCAGAGTTTGGTGCGACGGGTTCAAACCTACAGATTGGACTGTCCATTTAAAAATCACAATATTTTTTGGTTTCTAAAAATAACTGGGCAGCGCTGGGCACTCCCCACTAATGACGCTATAAAGGTCAAAGCTAATCATACCTCAAACAAGTTTCTGAGTAGCAAAACCTCATTTCTAAAGGTTAATAGCTGGTGAAAAAATGAAGTGGCTGTGAAACATCTAACTCCTATCAAAATCTAGGAATGGAAGGTCTAATTTAATTATCTCAGTTGGCTCATCATGTTTTGTATCTGTGGTGTAAATTTGTCCATTTCTTCCTCGTTGCAGATCGCCCATGGATTTGGAATATTCCCTACACCAAAGCGCCTGATACACATGGAAATATGTGGGTCCCTAAATGAATAGCCCAAGTTCACCCAAGTTCACCACAGAATGAAACTTCAGCATCTTTAAATATGAGCCGATTCATATACCTGTGGGACTTGCTGGTTCTAATAACATGGACTTCTACACAGGATGTAAACTAACTTCTCTTTTTTGAAGAAGTACATTTTTTATAGATTGAAAACGTTTTGAATAAAATAATGGGCATATAGATGAATATTGCTAGAGCTTATGATAATGCAGTGCTTTTAAAATTGAATTTATAAACATCATTGCTCTTTTTTTGAAATGACCATGTCAGTTGGGTCAGACTATCTTTGTACTGAGCCTGAATATTTTCAGCCCTGTTCCTTCTTTATCCTGGAAACAGTGGCCCTGATGAAGGAGAAATTTGTGCAGAATTGAAATAAAGTGAATAAAAGTTCTTGGTTTCTTCAGTCATCCAAGTATGAGCTTAGGCTTCTCCTATTTCCTGACACTCTGTCTTGTGCTCACAAATAGAGTTTATTCCCCCACAGATGCTATTCATTGTACAATGCTTTTCAGCCGAGGCATTGCATACATATTTTTTCTTTTTGCATATTTTTATAAGGATGAAATCTTGATAAAAGCATATGATGTAGATAAAGTAGTTTGTTGCTATGGCGGTAGTCTAAGATATTTTTGCTTCCTATTTCATCTTTAAAAGTAGAGAGCGATAACTAATTGTGTATGGGCAACATCTAGCCTACATAATGACACCATCTCCTGTTCAGTGCCCACTCCTAAATAAGACCCACTGAACTAACCGGGAGTGACTTTTGTGTCAACATGTACAGAACCAAGCTCTTGTGCTGACAGATGTTGTATAATACTGTAGAAATAATAATCCATTGGTTTCTAAGCAATAACCGATCATTCACTATGAGATGAGATACTGAAGTGGACCCTGAGCTTCAGGTTTAACTGATGGTTTAAAAATATTGGGAAGCGAAATAGGAGTGCTTTTTGTAGCCCAAGTCTCATCGATTCCAATAGGGCTTAATTGGAAGCATGCATCTTGAGGATTGAAACAATAGGTTGGTTCAGTCTTAAACTGTGGTTTGGTTTTATGAGTGAGCCTTGAGGTTGCATGTAATTTTTGGGAAGCTGTTCATGCCTGGGAACAAGCCACAAAATTGTTCAGAGCTAATTTGCCGTTGGAAATGAAAACAAATTATTGTACCATCTCCATTCTGGCTCTAGTTAATTGGAGACAGAATGGCATAGTGTAGGCAAAGTGCAAATTTACTTCATCGAGAAAATTGTAGGGTTCTACTCTTAATAGCTCAAGTATATGGTGTTTACACCTAACAGTTTTTGTGAAGGCGGGTCTCTGCAGAAGAGCATAAAAAGTGGTGAATCAGGCCAAAGGCCTATCTAGTGCAACACTGTCTTTTCCTAACAGTCAAGCAGATGCTTATGGAAAGTCTAGAAGCAGGACATAGACAGTCAAATTTTGGGTACTCCTCAAGCTTTCCAAAGAGCAATGGTTGGGTTACCCAGGTAGGCACTGGTTTTCAGTCCTAGCTTATTGCATTCTGGATATCCTTTCTAATATATCACAGCCCCTTACTCAACTTTTTTAACCTGAAGGAGCTGAAATGAATGCAAAGAATGAAAATGCAAAGAAGTACTTTCATACTGGTAGTTCATTACCAAAACAGGTGTGAAGTGAAAACAGGTAAACCTCAAATATGCAAAGGAACAAGAGTATAGAGTTTATGAAAGCCTTGCAGTAATCAAGAACTCTGTTGAGGAAAATATTATGAAAAGGTATTCATAACCATGCATTATTTCCAACAATGGTAATGTTTGGACTTCTTAATGTAGCTTGATAGCTGAAAATAAAATGCATAGGTCTACCCTCTGACTTCAGTTATATGCATATAAAAATTTAGGAATGTTCACAAAAATTGCACTAAACAAGGAATAATGTCAGCTATTCTGCTTTCGTTTTCAGTGTCATGAACAGTAATTAGACTGCCTCCCATTTGAGCCATTTGACTGAGTAGATATAAAGAATTAAGGTTCTCTGTGGTAGTGGCATTGTATATAGGCAATCTCCCAGTACTAAAGATGTTGCCTAGTAACTGTATATTAAGCATTTTGCTTCCTCTTCTAAATTATATTTCTCCCAATATCTATTGTTTTTTTACAATAAATTACAGCTTGGATCCAAATAACTGCTTCTGAAAGCAAAAGGACTTCTTCTGTTTGTGGAAGGGCTTTCGATGTACATACATAAATGATTTTATTTGTATGTCTGCCTTTTCATAGCTAAAACCATGCTCAAAGCCGCTAACAACATGAGAAATATCACATAATTACAAACGTAACAAAAGTAGTCTGAACAATAAATTGTGCACAACTAAATTAAACTATTTCCACATAAATCATAATGAGATCTAAAATAAATATACAAAATAATATCTAAAACAGCAACAACCCCCTCTAAACAATACCCCAACCCAAGAGTCTGTTCAGCAGTCTCAGCTTTTGTAGTTGGAGTCAGTCCGGGCCCCACCTTCTCAGGCCAGGTGGGAAAAGGCCTGCAAGGTCTTCCAGGACTCCCAGCTAAGATGATCTACTGGCAGGAGGGAGACAATTTTTGTATTCCCCCGCTCTCATCTGGATGTGGCAGCAGTTACCCCATCATCTGAAGTAGTTTTCTAGGGGGCCCAATGGGCTACAGAGGGAAGCTGGCAAAAATCCCCCCCTCTTTTGCTGGTGGTAATATTTTGTAACCAGGAGTTCTGCTGACATAGAATTCAGGCCAATGTTTTAAAACTCTTATTTATTGAAATGTATGCACCACTCTGCCATCCCCTGGTGAGGAAATACGGTAGTGGGCCATGTTCACATTATGAGTCCCCTCTTCTGGTATGTAAAGGAATTTCATATTATTAAACGTAGCTATCGCTGATCCCATTTCTATAAATAAATAAAAAAACCAAAGTACTGGAGCAGGAAGTTTGTATATGCAATCCTGAAAAGCTTTGTATTCCTGCAACTTTGCAGACAGCTGACATTTGTGAAAAGTCTCTCATAACACATGCTGTGTTCCAAACAGGATGGTGAAGAAGAGAGGAAGATGCATTTGGAATAAGGTAAAGGTACCCCTGCCCATACGGGCCAGTCATGTCCGACTCTAGGGTTGTGCGCCCATCTCACTTAAGAGGCCGGGGGCCAGCGCTGTACGGAGACACTTCCGGGTCACGTGGCCAGCATGACAAAGCTGCATCTGGCGAGCCAGCGCAGCACACAGAAACGCCGTTTACCTTCCCGCCAGTAAGCGGTCCCTATTTATCTATTTGCACCTGGGGTGCTTTCGAACTGCTAGGTTGGCAGGCGCTGGGACCGAGCAACGGGAGCGCACCCCGCCGCGGGGATTTGAACTGCCGACCTTTCGATCAGCAAGTCCTAGGCACTGAGGCTTTAACCCACAGCGCCACCTGCGTCCCCATGTAAAGCATTACTTTTGTCTATAAACCACCTTTTGTGCACTAATAGAAAAGCAGAATTATAAGTGTGGTTACTAAATAATTCTTAAATTACCAGTCATTGCTGTTGTGAATAGTCACTGCTTATTTTGCATAACTTAATCTTTAATGTAATTGTCCCAAGCTGTTATTTTCCGCATTTCACTCCCATTTAACTTCACTATTTACAGTCCATTCTCTACACCCATGTGCATATAGAGCTACTAATTGAGGATAACAACTACCGGTAGGTAATTTTATTCCCTGGATTTAGCTGCATAAAGGACCTTGATAAGGCCATTATGTGTTCTTTAGCTGTAAAGCCCACAGCTAACATTTTTCTCCTCCTACCTCTCCATTATCATTCTATGCTTTATAACTGCTTCTATATTCCTGATACATAGAGCAAAAGCAACAGCCCACAAACCAGTTTGCAAGAATATCTCAGGACTATTATAACTATAGTGCTCAAATGAGGGTTTACATCTTGCTGCCCTGATGGCAGCATAAGCATGGCATAAGCAACACTTCATTGCAGGAAAAAAGTATTTAAAGTAAAAATAATAAAATGAGCATCCGCAGCCACGGATGTGCCTGGCCCATTGCCTTCTTCCTATAAAAAGTTTTTGAAAATTAAAAAAAACAACCTGGTGGGTCCCTACACTTTGACCTCAAAGTCTAGCACCACCAATTTTGTGCATCTGGTAAGAGTGGCCTCGAGTCCACAAAAGCTTATGCTACAATAAATACTGTGAATAACGAGAGACTCCAGGGCTACCAGCGCTTTTCCAGGGTTTGCTTTCCTAGGAATGAAGACCAGTGGAGACTGTGGTGTCTTTAGGATATATGGTTTTATTTGCACATATATACACCATGAGTATAAGATTGCCCAGTTTGGGGGAGCAAGGGCGGCTCACAGCATTAACACCACCAAATATTTTATTTATCCATTAATCACAGCTTCGGATCCAGCACAGAGCGAGCATGTAAAAGGCTGCATTCCAAATTACATCCTGCTTTCCGAAATTAGGGATAACGGAATATGTAATCCGGCCTTGGTCCTGCATACTTGATGGAGCATCTCCACTTCCCTTGGCACTGAGGTCCAGCTCCGAGGGCCTTCTGGCAGTTCCCTCACTGGGGAAAGTGAAGTGACAGTGAACCGGGCAGAGGGCCTTGTCGGTAGTGGCACCTGCCCTGTGGAACGCCCTCCCGTCAGATGTCAAAGAGATAAACAATTATATGACTTTCTGAAGGCAGCCCTGTATGGGGAAGCTTTTAATGGTCTGATGTTTTGCTATGCTTTTATATTCTGTTGGAAGTCAGATGGGCTGTGTATAGGTAATAAGTTGTTGTTATTGTTATTGTTGTTGTTGTAAGAGCTACTGGTTCCTCATCATTGGTTGGCTTCCAGGTTTAGCATGTTGTGAGTGCAAAACCGTGGTGAGGAGGCCACCTTGAGACCTTTGGAGGAAAGTTGGACTGAAAATGGCAATAACGCATCAAGCAGAAGTGAGTCTAGCGACCTTTAAAACTGGAGCGTGTCAGCGGCTGAATACAGCAATCTCCCGACTAACTACTGCATTTGGCGCATCGTTAAATGAATCGCAGTCCTCCGTCTCCAAGCTGCTGGGAGACTGGAGGATCCCGGGACTTTACTGGGGGAGAGAAACATGGGCTTGAAGGCACCTGCTCCTGCAGCCTCTCTCGACTCAAAGACCCTCTCGGGCGCAACAAAGGGGCCCCGCAGAAATCTCTCTCGGCCGAATCAAGATCGATCCAGAGACAAGCTGGTCCCCTCGGGGCTCTAGCAGCGCGGAGGCGGAGGCAGGATCCTGCTAAGCTTGTTTTGCCCACGAGGACCGGCTGCAAAGCAGGGAGGAGATCGCGCCTGGCTGGCCGCGAGTAGCACAGTGCTGCTTGCCTGGGCTTCCCAAGAAGAGCATCTCATCTGGGCATCTTCTCCTTAGGAACATCCCCGACAGGTGTGAAATGGCACAGGCAACCATCTTCTCCATCCATCCGCGCGGGACCACGGTCAGTCCCCGGAGTCTTTCCCTGCCGCTGCCTGAGTCCAAACCGGGCAAGAAAGGGGTCCGCTTCCTTCCCCAACCGCTCGCCTGCCCCTAGCGTTGCGCGCTCGGAAGAGCAAGGAGCTCGGCGTCCGACTTTTCAAGTGGAAGAGGTGGGAAGGCGCAAGGGGGCGAAGCTCTTCCCAGCCAACGCCCCGCGCCCGGATCAGGTCCTTAGAGGAGTTGGCCGCAAGTTGAAGGTCTTGGGAAGGCTGAGCTCCGAGAGCGGCGTCGGAAGGCGGAGCTGCCCTCGCCTTAAACCTCGGCGCAGGTCTTGGGAGCTGCCTTAGAGGGCTGGAGAGGAACACAGGAGGAGGGGGAGAGGAAAAACCCGTCGTGGATTCAGGGTGAGACCAAATAAAAGATGCCGGGGCTGAAACCGTCCCTGATCTACGCTTGGGATAGGTCAGCGCGGGCTGTGTTGGCTCGCTGGAGAGAGAGAAATGCACTCTGCACATGATCAGAGAAACATTCCCTGGTTCCTTTTGAATCACGTCGCGTTTGGCGAGGCTCTCTGCAGAAAGCAGGCTCCGGCGCCGCGCGCACGACGGCTCCCAAGAAAGCTGAACTTCGGGGCGGAGTTCGTGTTTTTTCAATCGCGAGCCGGGCCACGTGCTCCGTAGATCCCGGCGGAAAAAGAAACTGGCGGACGGACCGCGACGAGAACTACTTCTCCAAGGTCTGATGAGCGGAGGTTGGGACTGCGAGAGCCCTCGACTGCGAGCGGGCGGTACTACTCGGGAGCAAGCCACCCACCCACCCGTCTCTGCCTCGGGTGATCATTGAACTCCATCCAAGAGAGGCTCGCCGGCTCCACGGACGGGACCCCTGCGATGCCCTCGTGGCCTTTCGCTTCGGCGCCCTGCTCTGCAACAGTCGCCGCCTCGGGGAGTCCTGGGGCTGCGCTCGCCGTCGAGGATCGCGTGGTTCGTTGTTGCCGCCGCCGCCGCCTCCAGGCGCTGGGAACCGGCAGCCAGCCCGCCCGACGTGTTGCCTGCGGCGGATCGAGTGAGATGGGCCGCCGGGGGGCGCAGCGGTAGGGCGTCGGGCGGCGATGGGGTGCCGCGGGGTGTGCTGCTGCCCCGCGCCCGGCCTGTACGCCTTCAACGAGGACAACGCCCGCTTCGCGCTCCTGGCCGTCCTGATCGTCTCGTACCTGCTGTGCGGCGCCGCCGTCTTCTCCGCCCTCGAGCGGCCCACGGAGCTGCGAGCGCAGGAGAAGTGGCTGGAGAGGCTGGAGAACTTCTCGCTCAGGTTCAACCTCACGCCGGCCGAGCTGCAGGAGCTGCTGCGCGAGTACGAGGGCGCCTACGTGGCCGGCATTCGAATCAACAACACCCTGCCCCGGTGGGATTTCCCGGGGGCTTTTTATTTCGTGAGCACCGTGGTCTCCACCATAGGTAAGCGGGAGAAAGCCACGGAGAGGAGCGCACGGTCGCGCCTCTTCTCTGCCCGCCTCTCCCTTTTCTCTTCCTCCAGCACCAAGAAGGGACATCTCTCTCACGCCTTGGGTTACTTGCGAGCACTTTTCCAAATCGGAAAACACTGTCATGTACGGAAGGGTGGGGCGAGTAAAAAGCACATGTGCGTTTCACAGTTCCGTGTTGGAAGCTGTGATGGACTGGGTATGCTCTGAAGAACATGCCTGTGCTATTGTCATATCTACATGGAGGGTTTTGTGCTTAGAAAAGCATTTCACTTTCATCTCGCTAGGGCAAAGTCAGGCTCAATTTGGGAAGTCCAGTTTTAATGCCTCTGCATTGGCAATGCAAGTCAATTTCCCAGTAACCCTTCCTTCCTTCCTTCCTTCCTTCCTTCCTTCCTTCCTTCCTTCTCTCTAGGCTCTGTCCACCTGCTGTATGTTTTGCTTTTTTATAATATTTCCCTGAAGTACCACTAAGCTACTTTATTAACTGTATGTTAGCAATGACTGGTTTGATCCGTTTTCACTGTTGGTTCTGGTTTTGCCTTTGTGCATGAACTTTAGTTCAGCTGCCCAGAGGTGTGAAACCTGTGAAAACGTGGGGGCGGGGCGGGGCGTGTTACATGAGAAATGGATTTGTTCAGATGTTTATAACTACATTTTATTTTTGCATTGTTTTATATTATTGAGACCATATGTGAAGAAGTCCAGGATATAAATCCTCCAAAATATATTTCCCATCCTCCCAAGCATTTGAAAATATTTTTCCTTGACGAGCTATGTTATGATATAACAAGCTTTGACGTTAACCGAATTGACAAGTCTCTGTAATAATAGCATTTAGCAGATGAGATTGACTTTTAAAGCATCCCAGCTGTGCAGTTTTCTGCTTTTGACAGTGAGCTCCACAGGTTGTTTTATGCACAGGGCACATTTTCTTTCATAGCTTGGGTTAATTACAGTCTGGTGTGCGTAAGTGATGTCTTTGAGACATCCCACTTAGGCTGCTGGTGTATTGGGGCTACTTTTCACTCACGACACTGACAGCGCTTTTCCTTTTCCTGCATTTGAGGGGAGGTGTGAATGTAAAAAACTACTTAATGGCTGGATTCAGTATGGAAAGTGAATTATACAAACTCCTGTGGGAAAGCCCTGCGATGAAAAGTGGGACCTGCTATCTGGAGAGTCCTGTTCAGAATTCTAGCCAGCCAGCCTTGCCCTTTTTCAGGATATTCCATTCTCCCCTCTGCAGTCTACTAGCATTCAATATCCACTGAGCAAGTTCAGTCCTCACTGAAATATTTCCCTTTTGTTTTCCTTCCTAAAAATGATTTATTTATAGCTTACTTTCTGCAAACTTCTGGGTTTCCCTGAGCCAGCTGGTACCTCCCTCTTGTGAATAGATTGTGCCATTTTGGCTGCATAAGGATCTGCACTGGGAGAATGGACTCATGAATTTCATATAGTAGGGATGGGGAATGTGTGGCTGTTCTGGTGTCGCTGAACTACTGCTCCCATCATCCCTGGTCATTGGTCCATGCTAGCTGGTGCTGATGGGAGTCGTAAATGACAACATGGGCTGCTGCTGCTGCTGCTGTTGGGTTTCCCTATCCCTGTTTTATATAAGATGGATAAACTGTTTCTGACAGCATGCCACTGAACACCAATTGCTACAGCAGGGGGAGGCTGCTTGCCTTCAAGTTCTGCTTGTAAGTTCCTAAGAAGCATCTTAGGTTGGACCTTTGATCCTGCAGGAATCTAAGAAACTGCTTTATACCATGTTAGACCATTGGGCAGAAGTGTACCTAGGGGTTAGCAAAACCAGCCCCCGCCGGGGGTGTAGGCCTGAGGCAGGGTGCAGCAATCACCTATCAGGTGTTGGGAGTCCTCCCAAGACACCTGGAGCTCCTTCTCCCTCAGCTCAGGGAATCCACCAGGATCTCCAGCAGGAAAAGCTGCTGGAGGGGACAATGGGACTCACTGGAGTGTCTTCTCAGCAGGGAGCACGTTCCTCCTATCCAGGCAACCTTGCCTGCTTCCTTCTTTCAGCGGGTGGGAGGGATGCCAGTACAGCTCTTTGCCAAGGGCACAAGGGACCCTGAGTATGCCTCTGCCATTGGGCCATCTAGCTTATAACTGGGGATACTGACTTGCAGAGGCTCTCCTGGGTATGAGGCAGAGGGCATTTCTAGCTTTTGAGAGCCAGTGTGGTGTAGTGGTTAAGAGCGATAGACTCGTAATCTGGTGAACCAGGTTTGCTTCCCCGCTCCTCCACATGCAGCTGCTGGGTGACCTTGGACTAGTCACATTTCTCTGAAGTCTCTCAGCCCCACTCACCTCACAGAGTGTTTGCTGTGGGGGAGGAAGGGAAAGGAAAATGTTAGCCGCTTTGAGACTCCTTCGGGTAGTGATAAAGCGGGATATCAAATCCAAACTCTTCTTCTCCACCTAGAGATGCCTGGGATTGAACTTTGGAACCTTTTTCCATGCAAGGTGTGCGCTCTACCACTGAGCTACAGCCCTTCTTATGTTCCTAAATGGTGCTGCTATTCAGCTTCACCCATGCAAGAGATGTTGACCAGTGCTTGTAAGGACTCAACACTCATTTCCCACCATGCTTTTCTGGTTTGTATCAGGGTTCTCTTCACACCCACCCACACCCTGCTACTTTCCTCGTGGAAACAAGCTCTTCAACACTCTTGGCAATCCTCAGAAACCCAGATTGTCGTTTGCTCCGATTCAGCATTAGAGAGTGCATTTTCCTGGGGAAAGCGAGGGGCAGGGGAGTGCTTATGCTGGGACTAGGAAACACATGTCTGTGCGTGGAGAGCATAGGGCAGAAACCTAGTGTGGATGAGCCTTTCGTGTCATTCATGGAAATCAACATCAAGAGATGATGTCTCAGTGTAGACAGGAGAGGTTCTCGGGAGGTCTGCAGGTGCCACATCTGAGGTTAAAATAAGAAAACCTGAAGCTTTACTGGTTTTCCAATTGCATCACACACATTGCATCACAAACCTCCTGAGTTTTTGCAGTGAAGGCTAAGCCAGCTTCTTACTCTTCACCCCTTCAGCAATGACTTACTCCTTCTTCTGCTGTTTGCAGTGGCTGCTGCTCCCAGTTATCTTAGGGTCTGGAGTGCTATCACAAGCAATGTACACAATCAAGTGATGGTCCCCAGGACTAGTAGCAAAGTCACGAACTGGCCCACTCCACAGTTGTTGTTGTTGTTGTTGTTGTTTAAATAGACTATTTCTGCTCTAGAAGACAGTTGCAGAATTTGAATTTGCTGCAAAACAGAGAAGACAGCAAGCACACTTACATAAGGTTTTGGGTTTTTTTAATGCCATACAGGGACTAATGTATTTGTAATTTGAGACATTTCAATGAAATTGGCCACCAGGCATCTCATTTCCTGTGTAGAATAGTCATCAGTGAATGATGGCATCTCTAGAACACTGCTTTGCAGGGATTCAAACTTAATGCTGAGCCTCTGTAGGTTGCTTTTGATTGTTTGGAATACTTTTTTTGAAGCTGGGTACTGGGTAGAAATCTCTTTTATGTGGGCTGAGGTATACGTTACATACACATCTGAACCAGGGGACCGGTTTAATCTTTTACTCCAAACCACAACGTGAGATGCAGATGAGATTTTATAAAGCATGGCTTACTAAGGGGATGCAAGTGGTGTTGTGGTCTAAATCACTGAGCCTCTTGGGCTTGCTGATCGGAAGGTCGGTGGTTCGAATCCCCGCGACAGGGTGAACTCCCGTTGCTCTGTCCCAGCTTCTGCCAACCTAGCAGTTCGAAAGCACACCAGTGCAAGTGTATAAATAGGTACCACTGCGGTGTGAAGGTAAGTGGTGTTTCAGTGCATTCTGGCATTTGTCACGGTGCCCTGTTGCAACAGTAGCGGTTTAGTCACGTTGGCCCCATGATCCAGAAAGCTGTCTGCAGGCAAATGCTGGCTCCCTCGGCCTGAAAAGTGAGATGAGCACCGCACCCTATAGTTGCCTTTGACTGGACTTAGCAGTCCAGGGGTCCTTTACCTTTACCTGTTTTTACCTGCTATGCCCAAACCAGTCCACTTAATAAGACTACACCATTTAAGTGATTAATAAACCTCTCCTTAAAAATTTAAATTAGTTCCAAGACATGATCTGAAGGCACACGGTATAGCAATCTTACTTGAAGCTAAATGGGGCTGATATGGATTTATTTGATTTAACATTTGTATTCTGCTTTTCCAAATGTTGAGCTCACAGTAATCATAGTAGCATTGAAAACACTAATAATATCAAACATATAAGTAAAACAAACACAACAAATTCATCAAAACAATTAATACAACTGAATGCCTGGATAGGAGACCTTCTGGGAAGCCGATATATGCTGGTTTGAGTTCCCTGGAAGAAAACGGAATATAAATCAAATTGTTCAACCACTTAATGAGAAGTGGTCACAACCAAATCAATCAAAACACTCTAGAACAGCCTTCCCCAAACTGCTGTTTTCAAGATGTTTGGACTGCAACACCTGACACCAGTGGCTTAGCTAGCCACTCAGGTGCCCGGTGTGGCATGAGGCACGTCCTGCAGCTGGGGGCGGGGCAAGCAAAGGCAGGGCACGTTGCGTGGAGCCTTTCTGCTGCCTCCCCCTCAGCTGTAGGGCAGCTGAGGCAGTGGGCAGACGCAAGCCCCGCACTGCTCAAAAAAGCAGTGTGGAGCTTGCAAGCAGTCTGCCCACCGCCTCCCCCTCAGGAGAGACGTGTGGCTCTGGCACTCTGCAGGCCCCGTGGTGTGACGCCCAGTGCCCCCCGCCTCACCTAGCTACCAGTGGTGTAGGAAAGGGAGTGCGGGAGTTATTTTTTTTAAAAAAAAGTGTCGTGAGCCAGTTTATTTTTTGGGGGGAAAAACACACATTTTTGCCATTTTGTCACCCTCCCCTCAGTGATGACACCCGGGGCGGCCCACACCT